TATAAGCTTCATGATTATTTAGTGAATGATCTAAGATCTGCGTACCTCCCCGTGCAGAGAGTGATTACTCTAAGTTTAGATAGTGCTAAGTAGTATAGCCTATCAGTTTTCGCATATAACTTCAGGGCTGTTTCCCTTATGCATTTTTTGATCGGGTCTATTCTAAGGTGTCTTAGCATGTCGTTTGTGCGGATGTACTAAGGCACTTTGAATAGTCTTCGGAGAGCCTGACTTTAAGAAACTTGTAGCTTTTGTATAGTAGAGTCGGCAGCTTTGCTATACGCGACACACCCATAAAGTAATGCTATAGATCAGTTTTCTGTAAGAATAAGTAAAAAAGCAGGTGTATACTTAATATATGGCAACATCAATCCATATTGACAGTCTTATGTTTGTCTCTTATGACTTTTTTATTACTAAAAATGACTCCTACTCTTGTAATAAGAAGGAAATATTGTCATTAATAAAGAATAAGTAAAAAAGCAGGTGTATTCTTAATATATGGCAACATCAATCCATATTGACAGTCTTATGCTTGTCTCATGACTTCTTTCATTACTGAAAGTTACTCCTAATCCTGTAATAAGAAATAAATATTATCATTTTTTCACTTTTTTCTCACAATTTCTAATACAAATTTATAAAATTTATAGTTATGAAATACTTATAGGTTAGTAAACTGAATATATTGGCAATAAGTACGACTTGCAAAAATTTGAACATATCTCATATACTTTACTGGTAACTCATTAGTTACCAGTTATTATTGAAAAGTTGTCAATAAAACCTATAAATATAAGGAAAATAAGTATCTTTCCACTTTTACCTTTAAAGTTATTTGACGTCTGTGAATCATAGTAGCCACCGTTAATGATGGCTCTGATTTATCCACCAGCTGAAACGTAAGTTAATTTATTAATTTTAGCACAAGCGTCAAATGTCGCGTAGGTGTCTTAGCCTTTTGCAGATACCAACGGGTTTTAAAAATAAAAAGAAATAAATTTATGTATATATAGTATATATCTGTACATAGGCACTCAACCATATCAAATAGAAAAAAAACAAGTAATTTATTTTGCGACAAACAACATAAAAAGAACGGAACTTTGTCATTCATCTAATAAAATATTCATTAGAATCTTTGAAAAGTTCATGGTTTGTGGGATTAATACTTTATTAAGAATGAAATTTTTAATGACCACACACATAATATTATTAGATTTATTTTTGTAGTACAAAACTTCATTAAATTTTTTTTCTTACTGGCAATAATTAAAAAATTACAAAAAATTAAGAATTCCGCATGTTTTTTACAATTTGCAACTAAAAGACCGACAAAAGAAAGTACTAGAAGTGGAGGGAATTTAACAGTTTTTAAATAATTTTTCCCCATATTCTTCAATTTGTATATAAAATATATTCCAGTGTTTGTTTCTCTTACAAAAGGAAGTTAATCCTACAGGAGTTTCTAGAAGACAGATTCAATATAACCACATTTCATTATATAGTACAGTGTCCTATGGAAATGTTTATTAGGAGAATTTTATCTTATAGATATAGATCACGTCTGTTATTCTATTATATATGGAGTTTACCACTATAGTAACATTTTATATATAATTTTATTTAGATTTAAGTTTTTTAAAATTATAATTAGATTTATGGTGAATCAATAGTATCTATATTTTGAAAAATAGAAATTGATCAAGAAATCATGGCCAAATCGCAGAAAAAGTAACCAAATAACATATTGCTTTAAATACCACATATAATTTTAAGTGTTTTAAATAATTTAAAATTTTTACTTAAGCAGTTATTATATATATAACTCTTAAAAATTATCTCCAAACCTACTCACCAACTATATTCTGGGCGATTACTTTCTTCAAACCATCCCATAGTAATGGTAATGGTTTATGGGTTAGGCTAAGGCCTTTATATACTGCGACCAGCTTGATCTATTATGCACTCGATCCCATTATTGACACTATACTTCCGAGTTAAACGTTTTTCCATTGGAAAGCAGTCCCACCAAACACACAGCAAAACCTTACTGGCCGTCAATCCTGGTTTCAACTACGATCGTTTTCGCTTGACATTGTTATTAGTGATCAGTCACCAGTCGCCAACCGCTTCAAAAATGGGTCGATATTGACTCTATACCTTATATATAAATATGTACAGTTTGTTTGGGTGTTTTGAAAATGATATTCCATAATAATTAAATACTTTATTCATATTTACGATAGTTTTAAGTGTTAGATAGTCAACATAAGTACTACGGTTACAGTAAAAATATAATGTTATTATAGGAGGACCAAATTTTGTTAGTTTTTAATATGAAGGGAATTTACTAGTAATCTAAGCAATCATCCTTATAAACTGTCTGTAGCTTAAATTTCGTTATATTTATTTTTATATCAAGTTATAAATAAAATTTATAAAGTAATATATATAATCTAATAGTCTAGACAATAGTAATTCAATATTCATCAAACTACCCTTGAAAATTAATCAAAATCATCACCAAGGGAAACGTTTATTTGTTTGAAAATATTTTAAAAAATAAATTTTTATTTCTGTTGAAACGTAACAATTTTTTCTTTCATTTAAGTTTTGCTGTATACCACAATAAAAATTTGTATAAATTTGTGTAAATGTGTAAATGTGTAAATTAATAAACATTTATTAGAATTTCCAACCAAATTTTTGTTTCGCACTATTTTTTTTATTTTCGACCAAATTGTTTGAACGCTATGACCGAATTGATTTCGCGTGAAAAGCAATTCATTAAAATCAATGAGAATTTGAACAGAATGGCGACTACCACTCTCGAGCACACCTCCCAGTACCACTACAAGACTTCAGCATACAAATATGTTGGCACTGCGACAGGTCTAGCTAAAGCCAAGCCACAGAGTAACGCAATGCGTAAACGTGGCGGTGGTGATGGGAAACCAGAGCAGACCGTTGCAGTCAAGGGCCCCACCAAAGTTAGTGAATATCATCAAAGACGTACGCAACACGTGAAAATTACCTCACCAAATATGAAGACAGCGAGGACTCGTATTGAAACCAGTACTATTAGTCGTACAATATCGGTAGCTGCAAAGGAAAATGCACGTAGAGAAACAAATAGCATTGCCAGCACTGTTTCAAATTCACCACGTAGACGTAAAACCATTGAGTGTACAAAGACTGTTTCTCGCCATGTTGGTCCTAAACCTGGTTGTACATTTACAGTTAAATACCGTAATCCTAATTTCACGGAAAGTCCTTCTTTAGCCGTACTTGTGAAAGATGAATGTGCCACTTTACGTGAGCTAAATGAAATTTGTCCTATTGAAGGGAACTGTAATGTTAAGAAACAACTAAACTCTGATACCATGGTCAAGTAAGTTTATATATACCAACCATATTCATGATAAAATCTTGCGGTTTAAGCGTAATATAGTAGCAATTTTGTTTTTTTGTTGATGATATGTGGTATTAATTGAGTAACTACATAAGTAATCGTAATTTATAACTACATACTTATATAGGTGTATTCAATACATATGTAGGACATTTACTTAAATGTTGTATACTTTTATTGTATTTTTTTACAAGGTTTCTAAAATCAAAAATTATTATACTTGAGACTAATTATGAGAAGACTGCCAAAGAAATGATTGAACAAAAGGAATTGCTGGATAGGACCTTGGAATATCACAAGAAACTTGAACAACAACGTGATATGATATATGCCAAAAACTCTGAACTCAAGGAGCAACTTAGCAAGATGGAATCCAAACTTCATGAAGCCAATAATTATGTTAAAGAACGTCATACTGAAACTTCAAATCAGCAAAAGGAACACGAATTTAACAAACGTGAATTAAAGCAAGTATTTCAGACCAATGTAAATTTAGAAAAGCGTCTACAACGCACCACTGAAGAACTGGAGACCAGTAGAAATGCTTTAGCAATGTTAAAAGCTGCTGAGCATGAAACAAAAGAAAATATACGTCGTGAATTTGACATTAAGGAAAAGCAAATTAAAAGTCTCAAAAAACAACGTGCTGATTTGTTGAACGCCTATAAGAAGCAACTTTTCCTGATCGACAATTTAAAACGCCAAAATATATGCTATGAGCAGACCAAAATGCTAGATATAAGCGAAAAAGAATTTTCCAAAGTGCTGGACTGGAATGCTACACCATAATGTGTGGCGTTATTTATTTTAGTCTTTCTCTATAATTTGTTTATCTCCACTTTTAATTTTTGATTAGACATTAGTCCATAAACAGAAATCTTTTTTTTTTGTTTATTCGGCTTTATGTTTTATTTATTTATTTTTTTAAAGTAAAATTAAATTTGTAAATTTAACAAAATTTAAAAATGTAATAAAAGGTTGAGTAAACAATAAAACAAACAAACAAACAATAATCTTTGCATTAGATTTTCACACAATACTCACACCCCTATATTAAGTGAGCTACTGTATCCACTTTATTTGTAATTAATTTCCAATAAACAGAATACTCCTTTGGGACGATTGACCATGTGCACTCATTATTTCCTCAGCAATTTAATTATGCGTGCGCACATAATTCTTACGGTTCCTTGCCTGTTTGGAAAACAGTATAAAAGTTGGAAGTAAGTTGTACAGTGCATAGTATTCCACCAACAGCTTTGAGCACACCAGTTTGAACTAATCAACACTGCCAGTGTACAACTCATATTGTCTTAAACTTAAAAGATACACCAAATAGATACAAAAATGGCCATAATACGTTTCACCATTGCCATTTTTCTAGTGGCATTTTTAATGGCCACCATTTTCAGCATTAGTGAGGCTGCGTACAGGAAACCACCATTCAATGGCAGTATTTTTGGTAAACGCAATAGCATTGGTAAGTTATTACTCACTAAAGTAAAGAATTATTAATAGAAATTCTCGTAAAATCTCTTTCCTATATTTACAGAGTACGATAATGCCAAGGCTTTAACAACTCTCTGTGAAATCGCTATGGAATCATGTCAAGCCTGGTTCCCACAAACTGATAATAAATAAATACAAATGGAAAATAAATTTTGGATATATATTAGCATTGCGATGTAGTATTATATAGAAGTATTTCTATTGTGTGCAGCTTAAGCTTGTTCGATATCATAATTTTAAGAATGTGTTGTAAAAATTGCATAATAAAATAAATTAATTAATTAATTTTTCAAATTTTTATTATTCATTTCAATCTTGAATGTCACCACATATATATAATCTACAAAAGTATACCTAAGATGGAAGAGATTATGATTTTAAATTTAATTAATAGATGGTTTTTAAATATTCATTGAGATAACACAGTTTCACAATTTTTCTTTTTTAAATGCAATTCTTATATATTCCGAAAAAGTATATCTTAAAGTGAATGGATTATAAAATTTGAACTGAATTAAAAGAGTGGATCTTCTTATTATTATGTTGAGGCTAATTGAGTCAATGCACTTGCGCACTTTTACTCTCTATTAACTGCGAAATATCTTCATAACCCTTCTCTATGCCTTGACTGTATTGTTGTTTATTACTTCATCAGACTAAGCAATAATTGACCTCAGATCTGCATACCTCTCCGATAAACCTGTAACTATTCTGTGATTCGATAACGCGCTGTTGGTAAGCTTGTCTGTTTTTGTAAATAATTTCTAATATAACTCAAAAATATAATATAACTTTTAAATTGACAATTATTAATAATACAACTTTTATATAAACAATTATCTATAATATCTTGTATTAATACCTTGTATCGTACAAGGTATTAATTGTAGACATAAGGCTTAGTTAGATGTTACTTTAGATAAAGAATAAATTCATCAACTATTCTTTTTGAAAAGAATGAATAAAACTATTTTATAAAACAGTATTGCAATACAAACATAAAAAAAATATTTATTTGGAACTACACCAAAATCCGAACACTCAGAAAAAAATGTAAGAACCGGAAGCGAATCTATATAAATTTTTTTTATTAATTTAGAGTAGTTGTGAATTCAAAATGCTGACTATAATGAGAAAAAATGCTATTGAAAAGAATGATAAAAAGAATGAAAAATGATAAAAAATAATGATTAAGAAATTTAATCCTGAAAAGAAACTTATTTATAATGCACACATATAAAATATTCACTCAGAACCCAAACCAAAACGAACCAATATAAATTTTTTTTATTAAACCAGAAGAACACCGGGACCGAGCCAACACATTTTTTTTTTAAACCAAATCAAAAAATTTTAGGCACAGTTTTTATAACTGGCCCTGAGTAAAATAAGAACTGATAGAATAAATTGCTGACTACAATGAATTAATTTTGGACATAAGCTTTATATATTACCACAGAGAAAAATTATCATAGAAAAGAGAAGAACTAACTTTTCTTTTTCAAAGAGATAAATAAAATAATTAATAAAATAACTAGATATAATAAAATAGTGCTGACAAAGAAACTCATTTATAATGCAAACATATATAAATAAAATATTAACTCGGAACTAAACCGATATCCGAAAATGAAATAAAACGGGTATATAACATACGTCGAAACAAAAACCATAACCAGAACTGATACACTTTTATTTAATTCAGCCCGAATAAAGAGATTTAAAAAAGATTTAGAAATACTTATTTCATCTGTAAATTGGTCATATTTCATACTTCTGAACCATAACCATAACCATAATCCAAATCTATCCGATTTTGTCCAATTATATTCCCTGGTAGAATTGTTATTCTTTTTCATGCCAGAAAATAATCTGTCGACTCTTGTGATTGTGCAAAAGTTTCAAAATCGTTAGAAGACACATACTCCATTACCGAAAATAGATTCCATAGCTGTACTTTCAACTTTGAAACTAACAGTAGATCCATCAATTTTTTTTTATCGGTTCCAACCTCTATTCTGTGAATTGTGTATTATTTGTTTTGTTTCTTACGTTAAGACCTTGATAATGTCTACATTACTATAGCTCATCTATTTGCTGCTAAAACCTTATTATTAACTATTGATTTAACGTTGTTGCTTTTGTCAAATATGACCCTAACAGATAAAAAATTAGCTCCAACACTTATCAATTCTTCATATTAACTATCGATATTTTTGCAGAAAAATTGTAGAGTCACGGTGAAGAGTATTTCTTACTTAATAATTTTGTTTGAAACCTAACAATTATGAAATAAAAAATATACTAAGTAAGCAACCTTAGAACCGCTAAAATTTTTCATTTTATTTATCAATTTAAAATTATAATTTAAAAAATGTTTAAAATTTATTCATTTGAAAAAAAAAATATTTAAAATTTTGTCGTTTCAAATATAAATATTTTCTCTTTTATATCTTTTAAATTTACAGAGAACTTAAAAGAATTTACTATAAATTTATATTAGTATTTAGTAATAATATTTAATAGTGTCCTTTAATTTATGTAAAAATTTATTTTTATAGTAGTATTTCTAGATTTTATAAATCTTTTGAGGCAAATATTTAAAAATTTTTAATAATGCCGTACTTATTTATTTTTAATTAATAATACAGTATTCAAAGGTAATACATAAATGAATTTTGTATAATCAACTTAAATAATTCAGTTCTTTAAAACATTCATACAGAATAATTACTTTTTGTAGTTCATATTATATATAAATGTTATTCTAAATTATTATTATTATATTTTTTTCTTAAAAAGAAGCATTTCAGTATTTCACTAATTTAAATTAAAATATATAATATTGTCATAAAATAAATAATAATAAAGTTTTGCTAAACATATTCGAATACATACAAATTTTTAATTTATATTTTCAAACACATCATAAAAAGTTTAATTATTCAATAAACAAAAATTATTTATTATTTGAATATATATTAGCAAAGTGTTTGTGACAATACCTAAACAAAGATCAATATTAATAAAGTCGTAGTTACTTAAAGCTATACTTAAAAGAATTAGTTTTTAGGCACTCCTTTGCGTTTTTGCCGCAGTTCATTCACATATTTACGTAAATGCGTCATATAATCTGTCATGAATGTTGTATAGGCCTGAAAATTTATTTTTCACATTATGTGCAATATATTCAAAATTTTTATAACTTACAGTATCAAGTACATAGCGCGGTACATAACCTTTTAAATTTAAACAAAGTATCCACTCAAATATACAGGCATCAGCTTTACCTTCAATTTCACGCAATACAAAGCCAGTAATAAGATTTTCACCTCTATAATTTTACATGTTAATTGAATTATATCAATAATTACATATATATATATAATATAAATTAATAGAAATACATACCTTATATATTTCGTTGTTGGTGGTACTTTAGCATATTCAACACTAATCGCAGCACTTATCCATGCTTTATCTGTTGATACTTTTATATCAGCCACATTTAACGGTTTAGTTTTTTTGTCCGCAGATTCTTCATCTAAGTTATCTTTTGCATCTACATATTCTTCATCAGGTGGAGGTTCATCGAAATTTATATGGGATACTATAGGATTAAAATCTTTTGCACCTAAACTTTTACTGAGTGTTTGAAATGCACCGTTCGTTCCTGCACAGTCTACAGGTAACCGCGCATCAGAGTTACTCATTGAAAACTTTTCACGATTACTGCCTACACTACCCACATGTGGTGTGGAGTCTCCATCAGATATTGTGGATACACTACCACCAAAGGATCGATTAAGTGTTTCATCATCACTATACTTATCGTCATCATCATCACTTATTTTGCCATTACGAAAGAAACGCCAGCATCGCAAATTCACGAAATCCCGACTTTTAACAAGGCCCGCACCACCGCCAACACTAGCCTGATACGTTATATCCGTGTATGAATTTATTTTCTAAAACAATAAATAATATGAGTAACTCTAATTAGAAACATGTAAGCATAACTAATTTTATTATTGTATTTTCTTAACAAACAAATATTTTTTTTATTTTTTTTAATTACAAAAAATTAAATCTAACTAACATATATATACAGCTTCTAAAGCCGAGTCTGACGAGTCTGTTGTTTCAGATGAATTCAGGAATTTAAAAAAATATTTATCGAATTAAACACTAATGACACATCAGTTGGGCATATATGTACATATGAACAGTCCTTTGATTCATTTCAGGAAGCTTTAACGCGATAAGTTAAAGGTCGAAGTTAATATAGACATCATATGTATTGTAATAAATCAACATGACAAATGAATCTAACGTTACTATATCTACTAATTGAACTCTGTTTTTGAGTGTATCAAACAAACCACCCTGTGAGACTTGAACCCACTAAACCACCTCTTAGGAATGAATGAAGATTTCCACAGCATTGTGAAAACTTCATTCCAGTAATCAGGGGAGAGAGGAGAAAAAAGACACTTAGTACCTTAGACCTTAGTACCTCAGTATCGAACAAATTGGTAATGGAATAAAATTTATAGATAAACAAAAAGTTTAAATGTACTTGGTATGAATTCTAATAAATAATAAATTTGTTAGTACAAATAAAAACTCATTTAGTAAAGTAATAAATCCAAACGTTTATAATGTCTTCATAACGATTTGGGCTTATTTACTTGTTTAAATTTTATGTTATAATTATAAATAACTGCAAAAACGTTCCTTTTTTAATTCATATTAATTTCGTAGCAAAACTCTTATATCGCTAAAGCGTTTAATTATTAATCAACATAGCTTAACAACACTACTTATAAAATGGAACGACAAATAATTGCACAAATGTGCCAACTAACATCACTAAAAAATGAAAGAATATTTATACAAAGAATTTAAATAACAATATAAACTTATAATTTAACAATTAAAACTTTAAAATTATAATATGTGAATAAAGTAGTATGTAACCAATAAAAAATGGAAAAATAATTTTATAAAAAATTTATGTAGATGCACATTTAAAAATACTGTAAATCGGTTTTGAATCAAAAACGTTTTAAACCGTAATTGAAACGATGCCATTTTGGTTCAAGAATAAACAACAAAAAGATGAGCTAAATCAATGGCTGAGAGTATCTACTCAAACAAATCACTTCAGAAAAGTGCTTGTACAAATACAAGAAATATCAAAACATAAAAAATATAGTGTCTTTTTAACTATCTTTTTCAACTTTGTTGTTACAATGTGTTGAAGCTTTCAACAAAACAATAACTTTGACTGTTATTCACTGTAAAAACTCACTCGTATAATTTTGGATTCTAACAACGTTGGATTCCACTTTGGTACATCCTCAATTTTATAAAAAAGTTCTTCTAATAATGCCTTAGGGGGATATTTAATACGTGCCTGAAATTATATATAAAATTAATTAAACGATTTAATTATTTTTTGAAGTAAAATTTAAGAACTTACTGTTAATCTATATATTTTACCCAATTTATCCCGTTGTGTACTTTTTATCGTATCACCTTTTTTATTGACTTTTTCACATTTCCATTCTGATGACTCTAGTAACTCATACACCTTACGCAGGCAATCTAAACCCATTTGATGAAATTCGTTGTCCTATAATAAAAAATTCATTTCATAAAATTCTTACTATTTAATAAATAACTATATTAAATTGAATCAAAAATAAATTATTAAAAATATAAATATAAAATATAACAAACTGTAAGCATCGTGTCTAAATTTAATACTGAAACCATACGAAACGAAAAGCTTTATAAAAACTTTAAACTGATACTCTTCGATTTAAAATTCATTTCATTCAAGAAAATAAAAAATAAAAAAATTTACAGTTTTATAAATCTGAATTTCTATTTGTATGGCATAAATTGAATTTTACGCATATATAAAAGTTAAAGAGGAATTTTTTTTGATAAATTAAATATGCAATTATTGATTCTACTTGCCTCTTCTTCATCATCGCTATTGTGTGTTGTATAATCTAAAGGTGAATAAAAATTAGCTACACTTTCCGGTGGACGATTATCAGCTTGTGACGCTAGAAAGGGTGCCATTAATGGAGTGCGATCCGTTGTTGCTGAGCCTGTTTTATAAACAATTTTAATCTTTTTATGGTGTGTAATAATATATTAATTTACTTACTAGAGAAATAGTGTCGAGCATGCCTCTCTTGCGGAAACACACGACAATCCAAAAACCATGCTTCACCCCAGGCCAATACAAATGATGTTATTATCAAAATTACTTCGAAAACTTGCTGACTGGACTCAACCCACTTAAATAAGTAATATAAATATAAATAATACGTTTTTAAATATTTTAAAACATAAAGTAAATATATATTGTATAAATTATTTAAAAAATAATTTTAATATTTAGTAAAAAGTTGTTGTTTTTAAATGAATAAAATTAAATTTTATTTTTAAATGTCTATTAGTTCACAAACCAAAATAAAAACTATTTCGTATTTTTTGCTCGAATCATATTTATATAAATTAATGTGAATATTTTAGTTCTGATATTCTGATATAAAATCTTCTAATATAAAATCTTCTAATATATAAATTCTAATATATAGTGAATCAACAGTCTCCAAAATCACTCACTTCATAGTCTTTGCAAACACAACACTAAACATCACATAATGTTGCATACATTAATATAATTAGACTTCTTCTAAACGAGTTGTGATTGATTTAAAGCTAAACTAGAAGAAGGAATAACAAATAACCATTTAATGACCATTTATACATGTATAGAGGCTTATTCTACTAAGTTCTAACATCTATCACTCTTTAACGTTATTGTTATTATGATTCTAGTCCAGACATGGGTCCATATTCTTGGTTCAACCATGACAGGAGTAAGCAGTCTTTAAAAGTATATGCAGACAGGTGACGTTAACCCCAAAGTTTCTGTAACCCTGTGTGTTATCTTATAGGCCGACACGCCATAAGCATGTACATTACATCCAATTAATATTTCAGAAACTGTGGCGATATTGATGAAGAAGAAACCATCAAAAATCTTCTCTATTCTTATCTAGTGCATAACAAAAAAAATTACTATATTGAACTCCTACCAGTAGCGAAATATCTCATATGTTACTTACTATTATTTAATAAGTTTACCGTGAAGGTGATAACCTTGGTTGAAAATACTACTGTAATTTTGTGGTATCATAATGAAGCAATTTAACCTAAGTGTGTCGACTTCGAAATAATGAAAACCGATGACCACACATGTCTACCTATCTACGTATTGTAGTTTATGTCTCATAAACTATGATAATTATATATTGAAGATGATGTACACATAAGCACAAAAATGATTAATTTATAAAATTATTACAGTATTACTCTAGTACCATTTAAAGTCACATATCTAGTACCTACTGTGGTGCTACCATACGTGATATTTTCTTCGACAAAGGATAAGTTTTACGCTTCTTAAAGAGTATTAAGTAAACTGTCGCAAAAAAAAAGATTACTAACTGTAAACGTAATGAGAAATTCTCTATCTTCAGCGACACAAATTCTTTGGTTCCACATAATCTGAATAATTTAATTCTGATTTGATAATTATAATTTAAATATACTAGATGTAATACAGTAATATCATATTTTAGATGAGCATATATTTATAAAATATATATACTTTTTGCATAAAGAGTACCATAACTCCAAAATTCCATCTCTTTTTGAAATGGAATAAAATCACTTCGTCGAAATGAACATTCAAATATGCGTAAATTATATCTGCTTAATATTTTATATATACCATAATTAACATTACAAAATGATATATTAATATATAATAATAAATGATATGACTATAATAAATGATATAACTTACATCAAATACAAAAACTTTAGATATTAAAAATAAACAAGAACCACTAGTTGATAACTGCAAATAAAAAGATATAGATTTATTTTTAAATACATTAAATAGTTTTAATATACTTACAGCTATAATTATCCAATGATTTATATACAATAGACCGTAAAAGAATATTAAGACTATGAACCTACATATAGACGCTACTACTACATCAAATAAAGACTTATATATTGTATAATGCAAAATTTCCTTTTCAAAAGCTTGAAATATGTTATTGCCATTAATCTATAAAAAATTAAAATATTAATTAATGTATACATTAATTATTTTTTGGGAAATTTCAAAATTACCACAATACAAATAAGCCATAGCAATGAAACGAAAAATAAATCAAAAGTTACAAATAAACAGAAAAATCGCCGAACCACAGACATACGACCATCTTGCATATATCCACCCAGGATATCTTCTGATATAAAATAATTGGAATGTGTACGCGCTGAAAAGGGAAAAAAAGTTACTCAACATATATATATCATCATTAAGCTAATATTTACTTATATCGAATGGAGGCGGCATTGTACCGCCAACACCACCATGAAATGACATTGGGTGACTATTATTTATCAATATTTCTGCAGCGCTACGTATTTCCTCTTCATTTTGGTTCATGATCTACTTTATAGCTAAGCGATCTCACCACATGATAGAACTATGAAGTAAAAACAAAGAGAAGCACATTAGAAAAATAAATTTATATCAAAGTTGAAACTAAACTTATCGCATATAAATATAAATCAAGGAAATATATACAATAACTTAAAAATAATTATACTTAATTGTAAAATATAATGTAGCTTTAATTTTATATTATTGAAAGTTATTGCTCTGAAACTGATAAGATCAATGTCACATCTGTAAAATTAATGTTAACGATTGATCAATATATTTAATATTGAATGAGCGAAGAATACGTTTCAGGCTAAGCCAAGTCAGCATTCAGGCTAAGTACTTGTACTAAGCTTCGAATATTTAACTCGAATGTCAAGTCAACGTTGTTCTATGAATACGAAACGTGGAAAAACACGGTTTTTATTCAATCGCGCATCTATTAAGTATTCATAAACAATTCTTCTTGTATTCTTAAGAAGAATACTGAAAATATGCTGACCAGAGCGTATATCCAATACCTATATACGAGAACGCACGAAGCAAATAGAAGCTGCCATTGAAATAAAAGAAGAAAATGGAAGTGGATTGGCCATACGATCAAGAAAGCAACATCCTAGCCCCGCTAGGATTGCATTCCTAGTGACCCAAATGGGCAACAACAATAACAAGATATGCAAGATATCCTGTTGTTAAGCTTTACTTGAGAACAATGTATTAATAAATATCCTCATCCTGTCCCATTGTGCAAGTTTTATATGACTTGCTACATAGATCATATAAGGATACATCAAAAATGTTAGAAGTTTGATCACTACTCATCTCATGATTTTGTTTACGTTGTCATGGTACACTCTTATTGTTCTTATTATTGTTGTTTTAACCCGCAGGAACCTGTAAGGAAATAACATTAAAGGATATACAAGACGATTACATGGGTAGAGAAGGGGTGGGAGAGGGGAATGAGGTTGGGTGGCATTTTATTAAACATTAACCTGCGTACAGACGAAGAAACCTGACCATTACAATGGGGTGTATCCAAAGATCAATTGAACGGAAGTTTGTGTGTGATGTGAAACAGGAAAACAGATGGGCGACGTCACGGGGAATCGAGCTGCAGTTGGGGCACACATTTGGAATATACGTGTTTATGCGTGACTGTAACTGTAACTGTTTAGCACTCGAGTACATCCTGATCTCAATTGAGCTAGGACACTTTTCGCTGCACTGAAGAGATGTCGTTCTTTCAGGGAGATATTAGGCTGACACATGTTGTCATTCACTCTTAGAAAAGTCTGGTTAACCGAAAATACTTAAGATTTATCAAATAACACTTAGGTCAAATGATATATAAGAGAGTAGAATATAGTAAAATGGTTGGATACATATTTAAATTAACTAAAAATAGAAAGAATCATTTTAATATAACAAAATAGAGAACAGTTGTAGATATATTTACAGACTGCACATATTATGGGAATACACTAATACTCCAATACACGTCGCCCCGATTTGCGTTGATTAGAATCGCGTCGTCAACAACAAAAAGTTTTGGCTTCGAATTGCGTTGGTAGTGCTTCGATTTGTGTCATTTTTTAATATATACATACAGACGAGATTCCCATTTTATTTCTTGTATACCATATTTTTAAAAGGGGATTTACATGTATTAAGTTTTTAGTTAAAAGGTGTCAGTTTACATTTGTGTGATAAAGTGGAAAAGTAAATTTCTGTTTTATAAAGTCAAAATGAGTCGAAAATAAATTTCCTTAGAGCAAAAGTTAGACATTTTAAAACGTTTTCAACTTGTAGAAAAACCTGCTGTTATTGGGAGAATTCTGGGTTTAGCTCCAACTACAATTTGTTAACGTAATGCGGACAAGATAAAGGACAAAATATATAAGTTTATTAATTGTGAAAATAGAGTCCCTTCTATCCGTTTGGTTAGAAAATCGGATTTAAAGAAGAATGCTATTGAGCTAAATGCTAATTTAGAATAAAGCTCTGTCGATATTCAATGAGTTAAAAGGTAATTCTCCATCAACAAGTGTCCAAAATATTTTTGGAAATTAAATATGTGAAGAAATGTAATTCGATTTGCGTTGTTTCGATAGCGTCTCATTTTGTCGTTCCCAATTGACGATGCAAAGCGGAATATTAGTGTATACTGTTCTAAAGATTTAACAGTGTTTCCATAAATTAATTGAAGAAGTGAACTAATTTAGTTGAACGTCGAAAATAACTTCTAAGAATGGCCGGAACTACCTTCCGAAGCCACTCGTCAATTTCGACCATCAAGTGCCATATACCACCGCCCAAAGGTATTACACAAGCAGATCCCCGCGGGTTACAAAAACAACATAAATATGAATGATTAGAAAAGAAAATTAGTTTATAAGAATTTATAAACTTTTTCAATTATTAAGACGATATATGATATGTAATACAAAAAAATGTTTATCAACATTTATTTGAGCTAATTTTTTTATTTAGCTTAAGTTGCTTGAATTCTTTTTTGTTGTAAACTCTACAACATTAGCGATGTAAATAAAATTAAATTGTAGCGTCACAATTAGTTTGTATAGGTTTGGCCTGATTAGAAATTCATATTTACTGATAAGTGCAATATATTTATGTAAATTAAAACTTATTATAAAAAGATCAAAATGAGTCATTAGAATGAAACACTATGTGATATATTTCAAATAATCCAACTGCAGTGCCAGAATTATATTTAAATAATGTTATTATTAATTTGTACAACTACAACGCATTTATAAACAATACAAGATTTATGGAACAAACTTATTTTTTATCAATAATTTTAAATGTTTACGGAGATTAGATTTTATTGTTTATTTATACCGAATTCTTTGAATCCAATGAAAAATAACCAACACTAAAACTTACTGTTTTTATATTAACAAAAGAATTACAATTTGAGACGTTTTGATAATACTTATTATATTCTTTTTTTTAATATTTACAAATGCAAGTAATCTACTATATAATTGTTTTATTTGCACTAAATGCTATTGCAATTTTACTAAGCAAAAATGTCAATCACAGATGAATTTGACAGTTCTGTATGGTTGAAGCGAAAAAGCACCCCATCCACGTTAACGCACTGAAGGTTTAGTTGCCTTAAAAAATTAATATATATTAACAACATTATTATTATTTATTCATTTAATTATTAATTATTAATTTTTTTAATTTATTTATTACATTAAATTTGTATAAACCAAATTACCATAACATATGGTACACGCTTCAATACAAAAGCTAGTTTCGGTAGCAGATTTTTTAAAGAAATAAAGTACAAGCTGAAAACGTTAAAACCATGTTATATATAAACATAAAATTCTTATTGTTTTCAACAAGAATCCTTATACAATTAAAAAAATTTAGTATAAGAGAAAATTCCATTAAAATTTCGTCACTATGACAAGGTTTTCTGTGCCTCATCACTGTGATCAAAACATTGTTGCTTAGTAATAAATAAATTTCAGAATTTGTGCCTATCAAAAGATGTATGAACTAATTATCATTTATATATATGCACAACAAAACATATCAAAATGGTAGTAAAGTTATAGAAATTGATAATTGTAATATGACTCTATGCGAAACAGCTTTGTCTGGTAAGAACAGCTATTTTTTAATAAACAAAACAAGTAATAATTTGAAATTTACAATTAAACAAGTGCAAAAAAATTTCAAATCAAAATTTTTTTAAAGTTATTAGGTACAATACAATTCGCAATTATTTTTAAAATGAAACTTCACTGTGATCATAATAAAAGGATATAAATTATAATAGCGTTATCAAGACGTTTCCAAAAGGTTAGATATAATTGAATTGAATTTAAAAATAAAATGTTACTCAACCTGTAAATTAATATTTACGAATATATAAGGTATTGATATGTAAATGAATGTACATAGATGATTGATGATAACTTTAGAAAGTTGGCGTGCATGTCGCTACTTTCCACTTTTGCAATGCTGAACCATGGGAAAACTTCTTGGATCATTATACTGATAAATGTTATTATTCTAACTTTACCTGCTTCCAGTCGATGAGCATGTTGATGAGTATTTAGAGCCTACAACTCTCCCAAAGTACAATCATTCTTTATTATGACTGGAAATATTTCATCGGAATAAAAGACAGGCCCAATCATTTTATTTGTGATTATTCTTAAGTAATAGTTTGCATCGACACCAATTAGCAAATTTCAGATTCGATTCCACTCTGATATATTGAAACATTTTCTAAAAAATTGTATCTAATCCCATGTTGATGACCTGGTCACAAATAATTTTTGCTTACGGTTACCTTAATAAAACAAACTTTTTACCTTGAGATATTGACACCAGCAACAGTCTTCCTCACCCATTAGAGTGAAAAAGAATTCAAGTACTACAGCACAGTGACGCCATGCTTTTTTCTTATATTATCGAAAATAAGAATATCTGCTCATTTTCTTATGGCTCCCCAGGCTTGGTCTATCTGTGCTGGTGTCAATAGACCTTACTACCTTCACTACCGCTGTCACCCGTCAGCACATTCATATCAAATTGTGCTTATTCAAAATTAGCGACTGTTCGTTGCGATTCGCTGGTCGAATTCAGTATACTGCTAGCTACAGCAGTTTTAGTATCTACGGCAGAAGTCTTACTAGACTCAGTGGTATATTGAGATTTACTATTGAAACTAGCATTATTTGAACTAGTAAATCATTCGAAATGTTTACTCACAACAACTCGTTCTGCAATCACTTGTTGTCTTTGCTTCTTTTCTTCTTTACTCCTTTTTTGACAGATCATCGTCCAACATGTTTCTTTTTTACTTTGCAAACTTGTACTCTGATTAGTTAAAGCATCAGCATCGATATCTACACCAAAGTAGGTTTTTTTACTGTTAATTACTGTTAATTAATAAGTTTTAAGTCTGCACATCTGTTGCCTAAGCCAAGAGAGAACAGGCAGGGCATTACCACCAGTGTGTGTATCCCTTGCAGATTTATCACTATTCGCACTATTTGTAATCGTTTTATCTCTAAAAAACCAAAATTATCAACCCTTTTCTGTAATATCAGTACGTGCTATCAATTATGCTAATATTGAGTTCAGTTTGGATTAGCTCCTTTCAATGGAGCTACTGTTAAAGAGAAAACATTCATCGACCATATTAGGACTAGATTTGCAATGTTAGGTATTAACTCAATACATTCTATTAATCGTGGAAATATAAAAATGCATTCCGATTGTAAATATCTTCAATATAAATGGAGGACTACATTACATTTAATAGATTAAATGTTTATAAAATAAATGCTAATATTTTGAATTTAAATCAGTAAATTTATTAAAAAATTCTATTAAATATTTTTTTATTAGAAAAGAAAGTTAATAATGTTTTCATATCGTAAGAATGTGTTAGGTGTAGAATCAAAAAAAATCGTTACTTTTTTTTGATTTCTATTACATTTAAATACGTATAATTTATTTTTGAGGTAATAAAAAAATAAATTTCTACTTAATTACATAATTATTAAAAACATATTAGCTTTTAAAACTGTTTTATAAATTATACAAATTATTTATATAAAAAAAATTTAATTACTTAAATGTATTGATATAATTTTAATATCCTCATAAGGTTTATCCGTTTTTGGATTAGTTTTAGCAGCACATATATTTTGCACAACTTCCATACCACGTAGAACTCTTCCAAACACAGTGTGTTTATTATCTAACCAAGGCTAAAATATTTCACAAATAAATTTTTAATTAGGTGTGTATATTACTTGATTAATAAGTTACCAATAAGCACATACCGTTGGTAAAACTGTTATAAAAAACTGACTGCCATTTGTATTCGGACCAGCATTTGCCATGCTAACTGTGTAAGGACGATCATGTTTTAAACTTGACACAAATTCATCTTTAAAATCGTGTCCCCAAATTGATTTACCACCAGTACCAGTGCCAGTTGGATCACCCGTTTGTATCATAAAACCTTTTATGACACGATGGAATATATGACTATTGTAGTAACTATAAGAAAGTATATACTCGATTAATGTTTAAAATGATTAATTTTTTATTAATAATTGTTTTACCCATTTTTCGCATGTACACAAAAGTTCTCCACAGATTTTGGACATTCTTTGGGAAATAATTTCATATGTATATCACCCATTGTTGTATGTAAAATAACATTTTCGTACAACCTTTGCATACCTAAAATTGTAACTTTCTAATAAATATGCTTGGTATGAAATTTAAAAAGATAAAACCTTCTTCATAATCTTGAGTTTATCATGAAAGACAAAAAATTTAAAAATTATAGATTCAATGTATCAAAAAGCTATGATAAATCATTGAATTCAAATACAAACCTTGACCCTCAGGTACAGCAATTATATCTTCTTTTGAAGGTTTCTCATTAAAAACATCTCTGTCAACATCTTGTAGATCCGATGGTAATCGTCGACTATACAGAAAGAACCGTTGTTTTCTAAAAAAAACAGTAATATATTATATAATTACACAAAAAGTTTTTATCATCAATACTTATAAGCAGTACAAAATATAGTTGGATCTGTTATCATCGATTGTAAAGCAGGATTATCGCTTGCTTCTTGTTCCAATGTTATAGCAGCTTTTGTACGTTTTGACTTTCCCTAAAAATGTTACAATCAAAAAGTCAAAATTAATTTTTACTAATAAGTATCAAAATAGCTTACTTGCAGTAATGTTATTTGTATAGGACGGATATTATCTGTTTTACCTAAAATCGACACACAACGATTTGTTTCTATATTCAGCACTTTAATACCTAACATTGTTGGATACATTAAAAAGTAACCACTATCATCAAATAATATATTGCTGTATGTGTTAAATTCTGATTTTTCCAAATCACGTTCTGTTGCCATTCTAAAAATAATAATATTCATACAGTATTACCATATATTACAATGTAACAGTTAGTACCTTCGCCCGAATTCCATATTTGGTAAAGCATGTGGAGTTTGTTGCATTTGTGTAAATGTTGTTAAAGCCTCATCGAAAACTTTAACCAATTTTCCAGTATTAAAATTAAATAATCTGACTTTACGATCCGTAGAAATTGCAGCAAAACGCCTGCCATTTTGCGTACATGCCAGTCCAGTTACCAAAGTCTTACTCTTCGCAAATTCAAATAAGCCTACATTAATTAATAATATAATCGCTTAAAATATATTTAGAAAAAATAACAACAGTTTACTAACTTGTATCTAGCTTTGAATCAAAATTGACCAATTTTTGTGGAAACGCATAGTCATTCTTTGAATTCTGCCAATATTCTAATATACCATTTTTATCCACTGATATTACTGTTTCCTTTGCAACATTAAAGCACATTTCAATTACCGGTGCTGAATGTAATTTATCCAAACAGTGTAGAATTTCACCATTTCCTTCGCCATCGTAAATATATATTTTATTGCTTTCTGTATCAGAACTAAAAACAAAAAACATTTATATCAAGCATTCTTAATTATATTAATAATTTTTTAAATTTTACATTGCCAAACTGTGTACAGCATCACCAGGTGAATGTATCCATTCCGTTGTAAGTGGTATAAATCCTAATCTTATAATATTTATCATATCAAAATTAACCACATCAAATATTTTGGCACACTTATCAGCTGATGCAGAACATAGTAATGTCCCACTGGCGTTTGCAGTCAAAGAATGTAATGGCACTAAATTCGAAATAGATTATTTAATACACATATTTCATAAATAAAAATTTATATATAACAAAAAAAAATTTATTTACATAAATGACTGCGAAAATGTTTAACAAATTCTATGCCTTCTTCCATTTTCTTCCAAAACTTTATATGTCCATCAATGCTGCCCGTAATAATAAAATCTGTTTTTGTACTAACCAAGTGGGTTATAACATCACGGTGCATATAACTCTTCTCATAACTTTCTGCATTTGGTAAGTTTTCCAAATAAACTTGTTCATATGGCAATACTTAAAAAATATTATTATTAATATGCATAAATTGTGCTTAACGTATTGGAAAATAATAAATTACTTCTCTTTTTTTTCGGCTTAATACTTTCAATCTGCTCACATGGCAATGGACCGATCCAACCGCCATCGTCAGCGTCTTCATCTGAATTGTTATCATTCGGTGCAGCACGTTTTAAAGTATTATCAATTTCTTCTGTAGACATTATTTAAAAAATTTATAATGAAAGTAGATATTAATTAATTTTATTTTTTATTAAAACTTTTGTAAACAATATTTCATGTCACTAAAATCAGCTGTTTTGCATTGTTAGTAAATTTAATTTTTATTAACAGTGTTGTAGAAGATTTAAATATTTGCTAAAATATATCACGTAACACTTGAAACATATCAAAGAATTAAATAAAACAATCAAAACAAATAATATATATCAAAATAAATAATAAAGCTAATATATATTATGTATTAACTAAAATAATGCTAAACACATTAAAGGCTGATTTTTCATTAACAGTTATCACCAATCTCTGCTTAAATTAGTAGTTAACCGGTGACTATTTTAGTTCATTTATTTTAACTGAACAATCCTTGTTAATTTGTATTGCAAAAGGGAATTTAATGGTGTGTTTAGACTATTATATTAACTTGACAAATGAAATTTTTCATATAAAATTCATATTAATATATTGTAAATAGATTCGATAAACCTAAATGTAAACATAATATAACAAATTTTATAATAATGGCGTGGTTTTACTACCCAGCAGATACATACATAATAAAAGTTTTTATATTTTTCAGATATTTAGTACATTCACACTATGCTTATTTATATTAATGAGTGAACGTTCACATTATGATGAGCTCCTTTATGCAGTTGATAGAACTTTTATAAAGGTTTATAAACTCCACTTAATAATTTATCACACAAAAAAATATATATAATTAATATATTAAATCATTTATATACATTTTATATGACATTTACATATTCAATTAATAAAAACAATGACTTTATTATATACTTACTTCCTTAGTGTCATCCTTGTTCCTTGTTTGTTTACATATATTTCAAATTTTGGTGATCTCCTTTGACAGAAATTTATTTTTAAATGTTAAATTTAACATTTTTCGCTTTAAATGAGCTGATTTATTAATAATGAGCTCGTTTATATAAAAACATTATGTATGGTAAATCATCCTTATTAGTGGCTATTTATTTATATATTTCATTTTATAGAATATTCTGGCAATGCCTGCAAATCTGTAAAAAATGAATTCATATTTAACTGTCAAAATTAAAAAAATAAAGTCAAACAATATTTGGTGTGCAGCATGGCAATGGAGAAATAGAAGCGTTTTCTTTCTATATTCGATTATTCGTTCCGAGTGAAAATAAGGAGAAAACTAAGAACCAATTGTGACAGCTGATAGAAACATGAAGTAATTGCATTAAATTTCTTGTGTGCGAATTATTTGGTGATTGGGTTAAGCAGGAGAAACCTTTTATTAGCTAATACAAACATTAAGCTTTTGCACTGCGTTTTTTTATGCACGAAGTATTTGAGGCGAACATAAAAGTAAACTTATAACAGTTCACATAATTATTGAGAAAAAATTCAGTAATTACATTGCATTTCTTTATAGGCGAGTTATTTGATTCGGATTAAATAGGTAATACCTTCTATCAGCTGATGCAAACATTAAGCTTTTGCATTGCAATATTTTTTCTGTGCAAAGTATTTAATGTAAACATAGAAGAAATCTTAAACAGCTGACACAAACATTGAGCTTTTGTATTGCATTTTTGTCCAGTATATGGTGTTAGGAGTCGTGCTTGACTGTGTCGAGTAGTCTCTCACATGATGTTTACAGCATCGACTCTTTCAGGTACAAAATATTAAAAATTTATTATCTGAAAATAAATAATCTATATGTGCTTAAATACACATCTACATTATTTAGTATATTTATACATTTATTATTACACTATAGTTAATATTTTCGAATCAATAAAAATTGATAAAAACAAAACGAACTTAAAAAGCTTAAAAATAAGCTAAAAGTTAAATAAGACGTATGGGCTGCTTAACTTAAAACGAATACAAGTAAAAACCAGCATAAACAAAACATAGTAAAACGAAATGAAAGCACAATTGATTGTGCTTACGAAGAATTAAGTTGCTATTTATTTATAAAACAGTATCCAAATATTGGACACTGTAAATAAGAATAATAATTGCAATGGCAGATAATTACGGTTCAAGTAAGGATAACGACAGCACAGGTACGTATATAACAGCACCAATTGAACATCCACAAATAAGGATCAATAAATGGCGGGTACGTGAGGGTTTCCCGGTTACCGCAAACCAAGTTATACTATTATATCAAATTGTGAATAATGAGAGCGAAGTGGATAAAGTGATACAGAAATTGAAGGCAGTTAGGGTGGGCACAGTTAAGAGATGTTTATTTAAAGAAGGTGATATTGTTAAAAGTGGGTATGTATTTCAAATAATTGCGTATATACACAAAAACGCTAGTGAAAATAATTTTCTTAAAAAATATTTAATTATTTCGTCCTTTTTTATTTAGGGAATCGATTATGGAATTATCAGAGTGCCTCCACAATACTGTTATAAAAGATATGTGTGCTGATTGTGGCGCTGATTTGCGCCAAAATGAACATGTAAGTGAAATGTATAAAATGTGGGGTAGGCACAGAGGGGGGGCATATCAGAACAATGTTTGGTGAAAGTAGAAAACAAAACAAAAAAGTTTGCACTTCTTTCAGTTATTAATCAAACCATAGAGTAAATAAAAGCAATATTTTTAAAATTTCAAAATTATATATAATTCTTATGTAATAAATAGTGTATGAAAGATAAAATAATATTTATTTATTTTTTATTTCTGTTTTTAATTTTGCTTACTATTTTATTTAACATATTGCTTATGTAATTCATTAGTTTATGCTAACATATATTATAAGAACGATTGGTCCAACCTTTGATTGAATAGTATGAGCTTTTAGACTGAATACTGACATTCAGTATTCAGTTCGATTTAATAAAATAATAAATAAAAATTTTAATTTTATAATAATAAATTTTAAAAAAATGAAACAGATTTATCGAGTTCGGTCTAAGTATTTCTAATGTATTCTTATATTAGTACTTGGGAAATATTGTAACAGAGTTCACACCCGCATCCCTTACAATCTATCTTCTCATTTTCCCTTACTATACATCCAATCCCATCCATTTACAAATTAACCCTTTTTATTTATGTTCTATAGGGTCTCGCAGATTAGGGTTCAGTTAGTCGACACGTACCGTAAGCACTTAAGTCAAAGCGAAATGCATATACAACCACATTTGTGTATTTGATAGGAACGAAACAAACAAAAGTGGCGAACTTTGTTTAAATATATATGGTCCTTACTAAGTACCAATCTTGTTGCTGTAACCTGCGATGATCTATCAAGCAGATAACATGAAAAAAATTATGCATACATATATATGGGTTAAGATGTGAGTAGGTTATGGTATTGTCAGAGAACATGGGATTATTTAGAAGTAAAAATAGCTTGGAGATGGGTGGAATTTTATTTGTAATTAACTTGGTATAAGACGGAGAAAATATCTTTATCTATGCTTGCTCTGTTTGTCAACCAGTTTCTTCTAAACTATAATTTTTACATATCTGCTTCAGAAGTTGATTTACAATAAAAAAAAATACACTACAATTATAACAAAATGTTTGGATTAAAAATTTGTTAATAAATAACAATGACAAGTTTCATTAATGGACTCATTGTAAGCCAACTTGAATCCAACCAAAAGTTATTATTTGTTCTCAACGATATAAAAAAAAATTAATTTAAAAAAATTGTCCATCTAAGAGTGTTATCCGATAAAAAGGGACATAGTTTTTACTGTGTCCGACTAATAGGTGTTATGCTGCCCTTAATAATATTTAAAAAAAATTGTCCATCTAAGAAGACTACCTGTTAAAAGAGTATTCTCTGCATATTTTACATGGAGTTTATATAAAAATTATATATAGACGTTGTACCTTTATCATTGTGCGTATAATGCAAAAAATTAAAATTTAGCTGCAAACTATATTACTTGAAAAATAAGAGATGTCCGACCAAAAGGGATTAATTTATATTAAACGGTAATCTGAAAATTTAGTTTGAAAAAATTATCTATCCAAGATGGGTATCCATTAGAAGAGTTTTACTAAATATTGTATTAAATACAGTATATATAAAATTATATGTCTTCTGTACATTCAGCTTAAAAAGTATATGGAATGCTATAAACAAGACTCAAACGGCAAATAACTTTTAAAATATAATCTGCACATAAATCAACGTATATTCCAATTTTGAAAACTTTTTCTAAATCTATGCATCTCTTTACGCTACTACCACCCATTTCTTGGTTTCACAATAAACATCTGAATCAACCACAGTTCTCAGAAATTGGTAGATTCAGTGTAGAACAATAATAATCTTTAAAATCATTAGCAAGTTTTATAAAGTATGATATTTAAATTATTCTCTTTAGAAATTAGGTTATACAAAATTGGATATTTTTATGTTCTAATGCAATAATTGAGTTAAATAAAAATAACAAAAAGTTACATCTTTCAATGGAGCACAATAAGATATCGGTTCACTTTACCAGGCGTCATAATCTTCCCACTAATATTTTTCATCCAACTTATTTTCTCATTGATCTGCTATATAATATGAAATACATGCTTCCACAATTTCTCGATTTTTATCTAGACGATAACCCGGCTCTACAATGCCTGTAATTCCGCTCTACAATGCCTGTAATCCCGCTCTACAATGCTTGTAATCTCGCTCTACAATTAAGGCAAGATGTTGTTCTTGCATTGCGTTTTTGCGTAGTTACTAATTACTACCTAGCAAGAACATTCTAGTATCCTTCCCTCACTTATTTACAAATTTAGCTTAGGTATATTCGTTGTCTAAATTCTAATTCTTCTGTATTCTGTCTTTCCCTTGATAACTAGAATGGGGTTTCAACTTTTGATTTTAACGGTCCAATAGCACGAATTTGTACATTTTACATTCCTAAGACGTGTTTTTAGTGGGTTCAAGTCTTACACTGGAGTAGTGGCAAATACTAAATATAAGTCACACTATGAAATTAAATTCATTCATTAAACAGATTTCACACAAATGCCAGCTAACAACACTAAAACAAACGAAAAAATAATTCAAAATTTTTGTATAGCAAACCTCTATAAACTATTTTTAATATTAAAAGTCTTAATTTACCAATATTGAAGGTATATCATGTTTGACCTTTGAATGTATGGACATAAGGGATTTCACATACTTAAACTCAGAGCACTTCAAACTCCCATAGGACATATCCGGCTAAAAATGATATGAAAATAATAAACAATACTGCCAACATTGGAAATTGTTTTTGTATATATATTTTAAGTCCCGAACACCCTCAACCAACAAGTATCATTTTACGTACATAGTATAATGTATAGTCATACTCAACACAAATTTTTCTTTAGAAATGAAATGGCATGGAAAATTACCAATGATCGTAAGTTCGAAAGACAGATCCTATTAATTTCAAGACCTGCCGTCAGAACCAATTTCAAACGAATAGGTCAAAAATGGAAAAATGATAGAACAGGGACGACAACAAATAGAGCAAAAATTAAAATGTTAATTCCAATGGTTCTTTTTCCATAACACTTTTGCAGACAGAAACATACGCTATGATAAGTGAATGAGGAATGCAAAAATGATTAATAAGTGCCTACAGTTTCTCTGCATTTACTTTAATACTTTATATTAAATTACGGGCCCACAACATGAAGAACATAAGGGTGATTAAATGTCTAATTACCCAACTAAAATTGAGCAAGTATCCTTTTAATTGGTTATCAAGTAGTGAAAGAAGAAAAAATTTACAGACCACCGGCTTAATAATGTATGTTAACGTCAAGGGAATAGTTTATACCATTAAGGCGGATTTCAAATAATTTATGTAGACTTAGGGTATATACTTGGTTACTAGGACCTATAATCATTCCAACGTTAGATACTACCTCTGGATAAGTAGGATTTTTACCGACAATAATGTCTATTGAAATTGTGAAGTCGAGAGGGTTGCTCGATTATTTGATTTTGTTATGGCTTCATACAAAATTTGGTACAATAAATGCCTAATCGTTAAAGTGGGATAAGAAAAGGGACTTGTATACATTTTATTTATATTTTGAAACGTAAAATCAAAAACTATCTTATCAGAAAAATGTACAACTTATAATTAATCATATATTTTAACGACCCATTAAAATCGGGATGCTCCTAGCAAATACACACTTATGTTATCGATCAATCACATTAAAGAAAAGAGAAAAAAAAATATTACTTCGGACATACTTTCAAGGAAGCAACCTCCCTATATTCCCTTACGATATGTAGGATATCTCAAACTAAACTTAAATTTAAACAAAAACTCCAAAGTGCAGTATCTTACTATAACATTAATTTACGAAGAAATTTTTATATTAAAAATAATAAGCTAGTTTAATAATCATTTAATTTTTATACTAAATTGAACTATTATTGAATTTAGAATATATTTAATTAAATTTCCTAATGACAATTTTTTTAGAGTAAAACAATAGAGGCTTCTGTGCCCATGATTCATTCCGTTCCCGATTTGAAAGTTACGCAAAAACTAGCACAAAAAATTGGTCACGATGACACGCGTCGCTTATTAGAGGATCACAAACTGGTTCTTCTGGTAGATTTAGATCAAACTGTCATACATACAACCAATGATAACGTACCGAACTATATCAAAGGCATATATCACTTCCAACTATATGGTCCACATTCACCTTGGTATCATACACGCTTGCGTCCAGGTACAAAACAGTTCCTGGAGAACATATCCGAATTCTACGAACTTCACATTTGCACCTTCGGTGCAAGGAATTACGCACATATGATTGCTCAACTTTTGGATCCGGATGGAAAGTTTTTTTCACATCGCATACTCTCACGAGACGAATGCTTCAATGCAACTAGTAAGACGGATAATTTAAAGTGAGTCTTTATAAAAAATAAATTTAAAAAAAAAAGCAAATTAAATAAATTTTATATTTACTAGAGCTTTATTTCCAAATGGCGATTCAATGGTTTGCATAATTGATGATCGTGAGGATGTGTGGAATATGGCTTCCAATTTAATTCAGGTCAAGCCATATCATTTTTTTCAACATACTGGTGACATTAATGCTCCACCCGGTTTATCGAAAACAGAATTGGATGGAGAGGGTGTCGATTTTAAAGGTTTAAATTTAATTTTAAAAATAATTATAGATTATTCATAATTTTGTTTGATATTTTTGTTTAGACTTAGATGAGGATAATGAAGCAAAAGAGGTATCAAAAAACGAAACTACAGATACAGACAATAATCAAAACGAAAATGCTGCAGAAGATGAAAAAGAAAAACCTATTGAAACTTCGGTTGATACGAAAGAAAATACTGAAACTCCAGAGGAGAGCGTCAACGAAAATAATATCAAAAAAGATGACGAAGAAGATAATACCAATAATACAGTTCAACCAACAGAAAATGATTTAAACAAAAGTGAAGAAAAAATTGAAGAGGAAAATGAGGCAGATGATAAGCCCAGCACCTCTGTAGCATCACCGAAAATAAAAATGAATACAGAAGCAAATAAACAAATAGAAATTGAAGATCCGGATGATTACCTTTTGTATTTAGAGACAATCCTCAAACACATACATTCTAGATTTTATTCTATTTATGATGAAACTAATGATATACCTGATTTAAAAATTATTGTCCCAAAAATACGTTCGGAAGTATTACGAGGTTTTAATTTGGTATTTTCCGGCTTAGTACCTACAAATATGAAACTAGAACAATCGCGTGCATATTTCATTGCTAAAAGCTTAGGAGCAAATGTATCACAAAATATTGATCCAGGTAATTCAATTAATTATTACAAAATATAAATTCAGCTCATTTGTGTAAACTATCACTACTTAAAACGTATAATCAAAACTAATGAGAATTATAAAATTGCGTATGATGTATAGAGTTCTATTTTATTATGTATTTATTACACTGTCAGTATCGTACAACAATTGCGATGGTTAGTTAGTGTTTTAAAATGAATAAGCAACGCCTACGTTTGGTTTTTTGGCAAAAACTCGGAGAGATGTCGGACTGTGAAATTTAAATAATCAAATGCAGCCAGCGACGATCATGTGAGGTTCCGTTCGACACCTCTCAAAGGGACTGCACAAGCTGCTCCCAACGAGTTACAATAACAACAAATTTCTATATATTAAATATCGGCTTTTGCACCGATATTATATCAAATGAGTTTTTATGATTCATTAATGAGGGAAACGTATTGAGTAATGTAGAAAAGTTATTTAAAATGACAATAAATTGATGTGTTATGTTAATGCAACAATCAATCATTGAACTAACGGTATAGCGAGTAATATAATGTCAAGCCCTTTCGTTAGCATTTTATATGCAGCATTCATTACTTAGAAAGAATATTTTAACTATCATTGTTATTTAGAATGTTTGTTATATCGAATATTTATTAACAGATAGAAAACTGTATTAACTTTATGGAGTTAGCTATAGACTTATGTATGTCATACGGATCATGCAAAATGATTTTTATAAATGTTTAAGATATAAACGTCTGCATATCATCATATCATCTGCAGAAAAGATCAAGATACTGTTTGGAAGGACACCTAGGATCTTTAGTTTTTTGGTAGTAGAATACTAAGTTCATCGATGTTAATGAACAGAGTCATTAACATTCTTTTTTATTAGACAGAGTCCAGGATAACTCTTTAGTCAGGGTGGTAGAAAATTTTGTTGATAAGAAGTGAAGATTTTTATCACCATAGATTGAAGCCACATGAGAAAGGTATGCATTTTTATTGTTGCACAATTATGTACGGTCCTGACCCGTAATTAGAATCGTGCAATTGTCGCTATATGATGCGATACTGACACTGTCAGAAGGGCTCGAAGTTTGGACATATATATGCTAAAGAGAATCAGTGAGAGAACACCGTGAAACATTGTTCCAATTTCCTAGCTTTCTACCCCTTACCTCCAAAATCAACGAAGTATACATAGAAGATAATTGCGGATCTATCATTTTGTCGAATCAGCTATAGGTTTATTAGTCAAGTCACATTAGTCATGCCATATTATTGGTGCTTGTCTTTGGATATACCACATAGCTTGATTTCTTCATTACATTTCATTTTAAATAAATTGAATTAGAGTGGTAATTAATTTAACAAAATCATTAAAATTATTTATAGATTCAACTCATTTAGTTGCTGTTACGTCTGGAACTTACAAAGTGAATGCAGCTAAAAAGAATCCTGAAATCAAAATTGTCAATGCTAATTGGCTTTGGTGCTGTTCTGAACGCTGGGAAAAAGTTGATGAAAGACTGTATCCTCTTGATCGTAAAACCAAAAGTAAGCAACGTCAGCCTCCTGCACATTGCCATAGTCCCGAGCATGTAGTAAATTATAGTGAGAAATCGGAAATTTCTACTTCAAGTAATGCGCAACTATATGCCACCTTCCACGAAGAAAAATTTGTAAATACAATAAATCCGTTGTTATCGTTTTCAAATGCTGATTTAGTTGAAATGAATAATGAATTTGCGCAATTTTTTGAGAGTGATTCCTCTAGTGAAGATGAACATATCAATTTCGGTACATATACAACATATAAATATATATATTATAAGACAAAAATTTCTAACTTATTATTATTTTAATTTAAAAAAAGAAAATCCACCTGTTGATAAGTCACTTCTCAAACGTAAAAGAGAAGAGAGTGTGCAGGATCGAGCTCGCAGTTTCTTCACACGAACAGCAGAAGAGCTAATGATAGATTCCACAACAGTTGATACAACAAAAGAAGGTTCAAGTGAAGAGGAAGACGATGACGATGAAACGCCAGGCGCAAAGTTTAGAAGAGGTATATATATAAATATATAACACATTCTTCTTATTTAAAGACTATTTCTTAGGTGAAGACTTACCATCAGACATAGATATAGGATCAGATTCAAATCAAAGTAACGATGAGGACGACGGAAGTTGGCATATGATAGGAGCAGCCTTAGAACGAGAGTTTCTAGGACTTGATAATTAAATTATCAATATTAGTTTTAATCAATTTCATGTATTGCAACTTCCCACTAAAACCCGCAAATAATATTAATTTAGTATTTTTTACTGTACATTTGTTTTATTTGTTATTGTTTGAAATACATTTAATTCATGTATATTGTAATTACAATGAAAAACAGTTTTTCTCTTTTAGCAGTAGAAAGTTATTAATCAGGTTTGCTTTATTTTTTCGCGATCCCTCTTAAAATTACTAATTCTTATCTTAGGGGCATGTGCATTTACAAACTTTCCTTTTGGTAAAGGATCTGGCTCTTTATGTTCCTTCACATCTTTTACAACCTAAAACAAGTTTAATAAAACAAATTTAATTTAATAAATAATTTAACAAATCTAGTGTAACACACCTTGTCGAAAATACCCCTACAATTAGGCACATCCATTGGTTTCACTTGAGCCTTTTCGTTCTGTGGTCTTTCATTCTCTACATTGATTTTGTTACGTAGTATAGATTTTAATGCCTTTCCCTCGGATGAACTGCTAGTAATCTGACTATTCTTTGGCACTGAAAACTAAACAAAAAAATAAATGTAATATTTATATTACAATTGTATATTTATTTTATATTTACCTCTTCTTTTGGACTTTTAAATGCTCGGATTCTTTCCTTTTCACATAAAATAGGTACATTAACGTCAGGCTCTTGTTCTTCTACACAATTTTTGGAATTTACATCACAAGTTTTTAAATAATTTATATAAATATCAGCTGGTGATGTTGGTACTTCATCATGATTATTGTTATCAGTAGAAATATTTTTATAAGTCGGTGCTGACGAATGCTTCACTTGTATGTACGATGTATAAATTTCATTGGTAGACTCTGTAATTATTTGATCGATTAAATTACAATTTTGTATGCTTTGATTTTCACTAATATACTTTAAATTTTCTTCAACTTTTTTCGAAATTTTTTCTTTTCTATTTTCAACTTTTGTATTTTCTCCAACGTTTAAAGGTTTTATAAATTTCAACATATCTGCTACTGTATCAATTTTTTGATATTCTAATACTTCATCTTCAAATGGAAATGATACACTTTTCTTAAGTTTTTTTTCTGCAGGGTTTTCACCGATTTTTGTTTCAGAATTAGTATTTTCATCATCAGTATTTTCATCAATGTCTAATACAGTTTTGTAATTACTAATTAATTCTGATGAATAAATAAAATCCCATAATTGTTGACATATTTCTTGTATATGTATTTTTTTTTCTATGTCCTCCGATGATTTTATTTTTATTTCTAAATGCTCTTCTTCGAACATTAATAAGTGTTTTTTTAAAAATTTAAGTTGATCCTGAAGAGGTAGAGATTTGGCTTGCTGTATTATATCCTTGACTTCGGAATGTATTTCACTTTCTTCATCATCTATAATTTCAGTGTTAACATCTTGTTCATTTAAAACTAAATCTTTATTTTTAAGAGTGACACTTTCATTAACATCATTTTTCTTCGTGCCGTCTGTGTTGGCAACATGAGCAACCCGACGCTTTTTTTGTGTGACATTGTTGTCACCCATTAGTTGTTTAATCGTGTCAAAGCTTATGGTGTTATCTTTAATTAGCTCAAATTCATTTTCTTCATGTTCTCTCTGTGCATTATCATGAAATATTGTCTCTAGGTCTTTACTTTTTTCAAGTAGCAAAATCTCTTCATGAGGTGCCTTTTGGATATGTCTAAATTAAAAAAATAAACATTTGAAACATTTAAACAATATTAATTTAAATATACTACACTTACTGTTCCATTTGTACATTTTCATTAAGTAATTTTTCTTTTTTGACTTCTTCATTAGATTGTAACTTTCTTATTGTTTGATGTTGAATTTTTTCAAGTGACAAAATCTGCTCATGGGGTACCTCTTGGGTATCTCTAAATTAAAGAAATAAACATTTGATACTTTTAAACAATATAAATTTATAATCATTTTTGTGTGGGTTAATTGGTCAATTTAAATACAAGTAAAACAGATTATTATATATTTTTGATCACAAAAGATTAATATAATATTAATTTAAGTATTTTTCACTTACTGTTCCATTTGTATGTTTTCATCACCTTTGATCTTATCATCACATTGTAAATTTCTTGTTTGGACTTCGTTTGAAAATACTTCATCGTCATAGTGCTCTTGAGGACTATCTCTAAATGAGTAAACAAAAACATTTATAAAATTAATTCTACAATATATCACTTACTGCTCTATCTGTTTATTTTCATTAACCACTTCTTCACGGCGTTTATTTTTTTCACGCATTTTGTACTCTCTAACACGTTTTCTATGCAATCCACGCCATTCTTTCTCTTTTTCTTCATCATATTCCTCTACAATATCAACTTGTCCTTCAGATGCAAAAACGCCCTCATCGTGAGGCGCATGCAGACTGTCTCTAATTTTAAAAAAAAAAAACGTAACTTTGGAAGTATTTTAATATAATATTTTACTCACTGCCACATCTGGGCTTCTGCTTGTAGTTTTGCTAAGTATTCTTCCGATTTCTTTAATCGCATTTCACAAATTTGTTTCGCTTGGAATGCCGAACAGTTGGAAAAATATCCTTCAAAATGTGAAACAAAAACGTCATTGGTATGAATTAATTTTCCTGGTATAAGCGCTTTCTTGCCCATTTCCACCATAACATCAACTGTTAAACGTTTGGAAAATTGTTCCAGATTTTGAATTGCGATTTCCTGTTCGTTTTTATATTTCTCCCATCGTGTTGTTTCATCTTGGTTTTTTTCAAGCGCCTAAAATTTACATTTTTAATTTATTCACAATTTTTAAATTATTTTTTTACTTACATTTCGAAGTATATCGTCCCGATTGCTCAACATTTTCAATAGTGCCAAAATTCAATGTAGCGGCGGAATATATTAAACTTAAGTCAGAATCACAAATTGTGCAGTGTTGTAAGCAGTCACTTTTCACTTCATATAACAAAATATGCATTCGATATTATATCAGGTTTCCACTGTAGCTAAAATAGCATATGTTAAAGAAATTAAAATTTGCTTGATTGATGCATGTGAAAGAGCTTTTTTGTGTCAAAAAGTCTGAGACGACCTTCTGTTTGTTTACATTTAAGTTGATATCCAAAAAATATGTATTAAATAAAATACGTATTGTACAATAATATTAAATATATGTTTGATACAAACTCATTTACATATTTTTATATATCAACTATTTATATATATATTTTATATACAAAAAACAAACATTTTAAACAATTCTTACCTCTTGTTTGTTTTTTGTTTATTTACATTTTATTTCACGTATCTAATAGTGCAAATTTCGATCATTTCCCCTTTTGGGATATATATTTTGCTATGTTGCATTCAACATTTTTGTGTTATTTGCCTTAATTTATTCTTAACTAAGTTAAAGAACACTTTGTACGGTTAATCAAATTTATTTTATTATTGACCTTAAACAAATAAACTGCTTTAACAAAGGCAGTAAGAACCTACTATTATATTATCTGAGGCAAGTGTTAAAAAAAAACTACAAAGCTTTTTTGTCTCAATATTCGCAAAGACTGAATTACTTATCGCAGGCATAGCGAACGCATCAAAAAATCATTAGTTATGACAGAGTACACACAATATGAGATAGTATAAAAACACTTGCAACAAAAGTTTAGTTCGATCAAATACTTGACATACAAATTAAAGCAAAGCAATTGCTCAATATGTTTGTATCAATTGATATAAGGTTTCTGCTATGTTTACGTCAGATACTTAGTACACAATGAAACACAACGAAAACTAAAATTCAATTGGTTCTTACCTTTCTCTTTATTTTCACCTCATCATGAATGATTTCCTATGACTAATGCAAATGTCAATAGTTATGGCTGAGGACACACAAAGCAAAACAGCATAAGTCCCATCCAATACCAAATCAATCTAGTGACCTAATACTTCGCACACAAAAAATGCAATGCAATTGAACAGTACTTGATTTGTATCTATTAACTGATACAAGATTTGTACTTACTTGTGTTTTATTTGAGTTTTATTTCAAAAAGCTTGAGAAATTGTCTTACGCACCTTGCCAATGTTGCAAAATATATAAAAAATCAGTTACAAACTCTAAAATATGTTGGCAACCCATTTTAATAAACAAATTGGCCAGTTTAGTATCCATTTAATATTAATATTTAAGACTTGTGCGAGTTAGGCTAAGTTGAAGATTTTTTGGGGTTTTTTGCACTGCACACATTTACCCATTTATCAACACGTATCGACACACCACTACATTATCGGCACAACTTACGTCCTTAATAAAATATATAAAACCACAAAAAAATATTATACAGAAAAACATTAAGAAGTTGTGATGTGTAAATCATTTTAAAAAAAATTTAATAAAGTGGCAGCAATTGAAACTGCAACAGTATTATTTGTCATTTCTAAACACTGGCAGAATATTGTCATTTGAAGTTAAAACAAAAAAGCTGCATCTGCAATAAGTAAAAATGTCCGGTCAATATCCAAGTAATTATAATAACCCACTTGGTGCGAGTCATCGAAACCAATTTAATCAGCAACAGCAAATGATTAATCCGATGAATCAAATGCAAATGGGTAACTTATCTCAAAACCATCCAATGAATATTGGTGCAAACATGCAAGGAGGTGGTATGTTGCCCAACATGACCGGTTACAACCAAAATACTATGATTCAACAAACACAACAACATGCAATGTCTGGAATGGGTGTGATGAATCCAGTTGGAATGGTGGGTTTGACTAGTTTATTATATAAATGTATAAAGCAATAAAAATATATGTAACTACCTAGCCACAACAAATTATGCCGCATCAACAAATGCAAATGCAACAGCAGCAGCAACAACAACAACAGCAGCCGCAACCACCACCACAAACAACGTCAATGGGAGTACTATCAGGTGGGAATTTACATCAACATCATCATCAAGCAGCTCCAGGTCCATCTGCAACTTCAATACAGATGCCAACACAGACAAAAGAAATAAATATTGTATCGCTATCACGTTTAGGGCAAGAAACAGTACAAGATATCGCATCACGTTTTCAAGAAATATTTGGTGCATTGAAAATAATTCAACCAACTGCAAATCGCGATGAAATTACTGTCAAAAAAGTGCAAGAACATTTTCGCACAATAAGGCTTCTGTTTAAACGTGTACGTATTATATATGAAAAATGTAATGATGGCTATTCACAAGGAATGGAATATGCTCATGTAGAAAGTCTTATACCATATAAAGATGAGCCGGAACATCGCAACGAAGCTACACAATGTGAAGAATATCGTAAGGCTTTACAGGAAAATCAAGAATTAATTGAAACGGTCAAGTTAAAGAATCGTCAATTACGCGAAATAATTGATCGTACCAGAATTATAATATGGGAAATAAATACTATGCTTAATATGCGACGCTCCTAGATCCTTATATCTCAAATATATATATTATAAACACCTAGTTAAGTTTTAACAAATATGTGAAAGAGCGGCTGTGTATATAATTTACTCACAATATACAATCTGTAATCTTTATTAAAAATAATCTTCTCACAAGAATTTTTTGTTTTTATATCGTTTTATGTGTTCATATCTGTTTTTACGATTAACTTTAAGTAATCACAGTGAATTAATTTAATTTTATTGTTTTGCGATTCAGCATATAAAATACAATGTATGATATTTATTTTCCGACCTTAAGCTAATATGAGTGCTTTATAGGATCTATTATATAGATCCAATATTCTTATTCATTTTCATTACAATATATAATCGGAATCGGAGTTACAAATGTTTATAATAATATTTGCTACAGATATTATGTTGTAGGGGAATCCACTTAGCCCTGTAGGCCAATTCTGCTTTGAAATAACTTAACTGTAGTACAATATTTTAATAACTAGTTAAATTATGATGTGTTGATTAGACTACATTACTTTAAAATACAAGCAGACACGGGAATTAGTGAAATGCTAATATCGTCATATTCAATTTCTACAATACAACGAAAAATTAGTAGACTTTATATAAGTTCTTAGTTATATATAGCTCAATTTAAGCAGAAAACGTAGTTCTCTACAATTTTTGTTTAATTTTTAACCGAAAATGGTTCTTTGGCAAAAAACAAAATTAAACAATTGGTATTTTGCTAACTTAAAATAAAAAAAAATGATTCTGTTTAAGGACTACAAAATATAACAAATATAATTTGTTTTTAAATATAAATAATAAATTATAGTTTTTTTATTTCTATATAAATGACCAATTAGCTCACTAATAAATTACTATATTATATTTTTGGTCAAAAATAAAAGAATTAAATATTCTACTTACTAATTTTCTTAGTATAGTTTTAAGATTTTTGCCAACAAAACGACTAATAGCACATTCACATTGTCTCATTTGGGCGGTTTTGCTCATTATAACCACTAATGAGGATAATTTAGCATACAAAAATCATTCATATAAATGAGATTATTATCAATAAATTAGGTCATTCAAGGCGAAAATTGTCGAATGCAACCCCTAAAAATAAATTTCCCATTAGGAAAATTACCAGAAGTTAATATATTTGTCATGTATTTCATATGTAAAATGTAAACAAACAACAGCTGAGCTGTAAACAAAGATGCTGAAGAAGTTAGTATTTAATAAAATCTTTGTTTTTATTAATTGAATTTGTCATTGATATATATGCCGTATGCGCGTTCGATTAAATTGAAATTATCTAGGGATTATAATATATATTTATTTATTTATTGCACTTATTTATTATTTTTGGTTAAAAGTTTTCAAATTTATTTATTTATTTATTAATAATAAATTTATATCACAATGGTAACACCTAATTTACCCTACTCGAAATTCTGGTAAATACCAACATTCGCTGCCATACCGACATAGTTTACTATTTTCCTCCATTTTATGCGAACTCGCACACGGTCTGTGAGTTCATTTATATGAAAGCGTTTTGTATGATAAATAATCGTCAATAGCGGATATAATAAGCAAAACTGCCTAAATAAAATGGACCAGTAGAAGCATGGTATTAGGTTCAAATATTTCGAAGTACCCTTTATGCTGTAAACAAATAGATATGTTTGTTGGTATACTCATGTATATAATAAATTACTCTAAAAAAAGCAGATAATTCAAATAAATATGTTTTGGTATGAAGTTGGACAAATTAGGTTTGTTCCACGAACTATTTTATTTACTATTTACACAAATTTTCATGGAACAGCTTTGGTGAGAACAGCTTTGACGTAAATAAACAATACAAAAATTTGAATTTAATCCAAAACAGCTGATTCAGACATCAACACAAATTTTACTTGAAATAAAATGTACGATTAAGGTCTGTGTAGCATTCTCAAATTTTGACAGGGATGTTATATGGCGTTTACATTGGCCGAAAATGGCTCATTTTGGTCAAAAATCGAAAATGAGTATCGAATGGTTCATTCTTGCATATAAAATTTCAAGCACAAAAATGAGCAATTTTCTCACATTCTGTATGAATGACGTTCGAATGCATTCCACATACGTTCCAAATGCAAAGGAATCCATTGAACATACCCTAAATGAAAGCTCTTCATGGCATTTTGACAGTTTGAAAAAGCTGCTTTGACATATTTACAAAAAAAAGATAAACAAATGTTTGGTGGTTGCATTTTCTTTAAAATGATGCACCAATTTTTGGAACTTCTACTTCCCAAAAATAAATAAATCGAATCTAGAAACAAGTTTTCAGTTTATATTGTAAGGTTTGAAGGTATATTTAACCTTCCTGTAACATTTTTTTGGCACAGAAATGAAATGAAATGAGAAAAAATGAAATACAACGAATGTAAACACTTTCAAATGACTCATCCAAAATGAGCCATTTTCGGCCAATGTAAACGCCGTATTACGCTCTCTCATATGATATCATTTACACAAAAATTTTGCTGGAACACACAGTGTTACTCAAAGTTACTACGAGTAGCTCGTGGAACATATCTATTGTGTTCACTGCATTATTTCAAGCGAATTCGAGCACGCTTAGGTTTTGTTGTGGCACCCAGTTTTGCAGCAGCTGTTATCTCATTGTCAGCTGTTTTGCAAGAGATACGGATGAAATCATAAAAGAATATAAACTAAAAGAAAAGGTTTTGTTTATTTGTGAAAATATTTGTAAACTCATTCAGGCCATCAAACACAAATATATACGCTTGGAAAGATTATCGTTTTATTTAGTGTAATAAAAAATTAATAAATAAAAATAAATAAATATAGAAAATTATGCGGTATTATTAATAATATTGGCGTATAGAGAAAATTAGACATGGAGCAGTTGGATGACCACTTTCGTTACATTTATAGTTCATCATTGCATGAACTCGTACAGATAAAAGTGTAAGAAAAAATAAACAAAAAAGTAGGCGTTTTAGATTATATTTCTTAATGCTTTTTTAGTGGCACGCTTGAGGGGAAGAAACGACAGCCGGATTATGAAAAACTGCTGGAAGAACCAATTTTACGTTTTTCTGGTTTATATTCCGAAGAATATCCAGCATTTCAAGTACGCATGCAAATATTCAATAAAGGTCGACCGTATTGTCTACCTGTGACCACATCATACAAATCATTTACCAAACGTTGGAGTTGGAATGAATGGATTACATTACCGCTGCAGTTTTCAGATTTGCCAAGAACTGCATTGCTTGTATTGACAATTCTTGATTGTGCTGGCGCTGGACAAACTACTATCATTGGTGGTACATCCATAACGTTATTTGGTAAAAATGGTATGTTTCGCCAGGGTATGTACGATTTACGGGTATGGTTGGGCATTGAGGGTGATGGTAATGGCTGCACACCTGGCAAAGGCAAAGAATCGTCTAAGTCACAAATGCAACGTTTAGGAAAATTAGCTAAAAAGCATCGTAATGGTCAGATACAAAAGGTTGATTGGCTGGATCGGTTGACTTTCCGAGAAATAGAAGTCATTAATGAACGTGAAAAACGATTGTCCGATTATATGTTTTTAATGATTGAATTTCCAACAATTGTGGTGGACGATTACTATAATGTAAGCGTTTTAAATAATATTATAATAAATAAATGTCATTTAAATATTTATATTTTATATTTTGCAGTATTCCATAGTATATTTTGAAACGGAAGGTGACAAAAACTATAAATTTATATCTAAACCAAAACTTGTCACTGTACCAGATACAGAAATACTACAGGTAAGTTCCACTTAATAAATCATTCAGTATTATTTAAATTTTTATAGCAGTTGTTTATATTTACACAAACATTAACAAAGTATATTTCACATATTTTATGCCGTATGAGCGTATTTAAATCTGCATAAAACCTATTTTTATTTGGTTGTGAATGGTAATGCTTAAACATAAAAGCTCTGAGACATGCAGTCTAGTACACACCCCACTGTTTATTGACTTTTAATATAAATCCAAAATCGATTATGTCTCATGGTCAACTGAAATGCGTCCTCTAAGCGAAATTGTTCCGTTAAAGCAGTAAATCCATTAACAGTTCTAATGTAAACACGATTAGGAGAAGAATGCGTTTATCGCATTTTAATATATTCAAAATTATTGTTAAAAAATACGAAAATGGCAAAAGTTGGTTAAAAAAATGGATACAAAGTGTTCGGGTAACAGCACACAATATTTATGATTATGATTAATTTGAAAATTATTTTGTAACCCATGTCACTCCAGCTTCCTTTAAACAACCTAGCAAGGAAGAACTCCCAAAGGAAAAATGGAATGATTAAATAATTAAAAATGAAAATGACGAAATATCAGTGGGCTAAATGGAAATTTTGAATAGAAAAAAATTTTTGAACCAGACCAGCTATCGTAATAAATTTTATATAAAAATATTCGTCAGGATTTACTCTTTTCTCCATATAAAGTTAGTTAATTAATATATTGTGCATTAAAAAAGTGTTTCCACTAATATGGATTCACAATAACCAAAGTTACCCTTTTAACAAATGACACAAGTAACTATTTAATACCGACTTTAATTATACCAGGACAGTTCTTACTGCATGGAGTAGTTATCTTTTTGTTTTTTTGGAAATATCAAACCGAGTTGCATTGAGAACTAAATTGCAATGCATGTATAGTTTGGAAGAAAATACTATTTCGGTATGTAAGTCTTAAAACCTATATTCTACTGCCAAAAATACTGTTGTTGTAATCCGCTGGGACCTACTTGTGAAGTCCCTTTGGAAGATGTTGAAAGCTACTTTGTTCTTGTAACAAAAAATATTAAAACCAACAAGGTCTTCTGATACATCATTTTAGATGAGGGATCTAAAGATAATTTTGATAAGGACCGCTTGACTTCTCCTACAGTAATAAAAGTTAATGATTTACTTAAGAGCACTCAGCGAGTGAATTATTGTTCGCAAGCACAAAGTGGAAGAAATAAGAAGTGGGAGAGAAAGCAGGGAAAATGATTTAAATAGAAAAATAAGTCACAAAATCTCAACATTCATGGTCTCCCTTATGACTAAGAATATCATGCAGTAACCGAGACAGACATAGAGATAGAAAAAACATGAACAGTGTTCATGTGGAGGACATCATAACCCACTAATCTCAATGTTTTTCTTGTTTCTTGCTGTTCACATCCTAGGGACAAAATTTACGTATTAAAATTGTGATATTATCCATCTTAATCGTGTAGTTACGCCAATCAGTGCACTATAATGACATCGATCAATCCTCTAAGGTCCTCATCATCTGCAATATTGTTTGTTGTTGTTGTATGGTAAAAATAAAGAAACTCTGCACATTTGCCTTTTCCTTTAATTGTCATATTCTCATGATCTGAGCTTAATTGACCCGACCTATGGTTCTAATTCATATGTAAACTATATTTACATCCCTTCATGGATAATTCTGCAGGTTATCCATATATATACTAATATACATAAATATTTTTTACCATATATTTTTGATTATAATAACTGAACAATCTTCATTTAGTTGATTAAAAATATTTTTGTAATATATTTGATTTTAACAGGGCTTAGGTAACACTTAGATTGTTAATAAATAACTCTAACTAATTTTTTTATTTACATTTATATTTACAATTTTTATTTTAAATTTTTCCTTATATTCAGGAAAATTTAGTGGAACGTAAGCATCATCGTTTGGCACGTTCCGAACGTTCTCGCATATCTGACAGAGATGCAAAACCAACAGCAAGGTAATATATATTATTTTATTTTCTTTAGTAAAACATATATTTTTTACTAAAACACGTTTTTATCTTAGCATACGAGATCAGTTACACACTATCGTCTATCGCTATCCGCCTACATATGTGTTGAGCAGTGAAGAGCAGGATTTGCTATGGAAGTTTCGCTTCTATTTATCCTCACATAAAAAGGCGCTCACAAAATTCCTTAAATGTATTAATTGGGAAACACCCGCTGAAGTTATGCAGGCATTATCTTTATTAGCAAAATGGGCACCAATGGATGTTGAAGACGCTTTAGAATTGCTTAGTCCGGCATTTAAACATCATCAAGTGCGCAAATATGCTATAAGCCGTTTAGCTCAAGCACCCGACGAAGATTTACTACTCTATCTACTGCAATTGGTACAGGCACTTAAATATGAGAATTTTAATGATATTGCCGCATCGCATAAGCGTATTTTTCCAGATCGTGATATTGTGCGTTCATTAGACGATAAATCCGGTTCGTTTGATCAGAGCTCTATGTGCTCTGATTTAAGTAATAGCGCTGATGTAACATCCGTTATAGCCGCATCAACGAATCGCGATAACATAAATACGTCCAATTCCATTATGCAACGCACAGCAGTACAAGTGAATGTCACACAAAAATCAACTCTACCGATGTCGATCTCTGTTAATTCATCGGTGGCAGATGATGAAATGAATGTTGTTAGCACCACCACTATTGCATCAGTACCATCAGATACATCAAATACTCTAATATGTGATAATCCTAGTTCATATGTTTCCACGCCAACTTACGGGGATTTGTCAACCTTTCTTATACAGCGTGCATGTAAAAATCCAACTTTAGCTAATTATTTATACTGGTATTTATCGATTGAAGTTGAAGATCAGGAATCGATACGAAAACAAGATGAAAGCGTGCATGTTATGTATGTTATGGTGTTGAAGATGTTTCAAAAAGTCCTAAAAAATGGTATAAAATTTTTATTATTACTATAGCATGTTGTATATTTCATTAATTATATATAATTTAAAATTAACAGGCAGCTTTCAGTTACGGAACATATATTGCAGTCTCGAAAAGCAGAAACTTTTCATAGACGAGCTGGTAAAATTGGTTAAAATCGTAGCTAAGGAACCAGGCAATCGTAATAAAAAAACTGAGAAGTTTCAGAAATTACTCTCGGAGCACGACAAATTTAAAATAAATTTCAACGAATTTGACCAAATCCCCTTTCCTTTAGATCCAGAAATCCATATAACAAAAATAGTACCAAATAAGACATCGCTTTTCAAAAGTGCGCTGATGCCTGCAAAGTACGTTAAAACACATTTCTTTTATATATTAAAATATTTATATGGTATATTATATTATAAAATTGACTTGGTTACATTTATATATTGTTAATAACTAAAATAGTTTTATTTTTAATTTGTTTATGAGAAACTTTTATATACTTCAAAGTACTATTTCTTATCTAAACAATACCTATATATTTTTTAAACAAATATTTTAATTAGTATATTATATAATTAATATAATATACTTATATTCTCCTACATAATATATAACAATGTATATATCTATCATTTATATTTATCTTAATTTATATTTTTATTAATTTATATTTTTCTTGATTTAAATTTTTTTTAATTTAAATTTAACTTAATTTAAATTTTTCTTAATTTATATTTTTCTTAATTTACATTTTTCTTAATTTATATTTCTCATAATTTACATTTTTCTCAATTTATATTTTTCTTAATTTATATTTTTATTAATTTATATTTTTCTTAATGTAAATTTTTCTTAATTTATATTTTTATTAATTCATATTTTTCTTAATTTAAATTTTTTCTTAATTTAATATTTTTCTTAATTTAAATTTTTCTTAATTTATATTTTTCTTAATTTACACATTTCTTTATTTATATTTTTCTTAATTTAGATTAACATTTGTGACAACAATCGCCTCTCATGAATATGTAGCGATTTTTAAACACGGTGATGATTTGAGACAAGATCAGCTTATCTTACAAATGATAACACTTATGGATAAATTACTACGTCGAGAGAATTTGGACCTAAAATTGACACCCTACAAAGTGCTTGCCACGAGTTCTAAACACGGTTTCTTGCAATTTATTGACTCATACACAGTTGCTGATGTCTTGGCACGTGAAGGCAGTATTCATAATTTCTTTCGCAAACACAATCCTTGTGAAACAGGTCCTTATGGCATAACATCCGAGACTATGGATACTTACATTAAAAGTTGTGCTGGATATTGTGTTATAACATATTTATTAGGTAAGTTTAGCAATTAATTAATTAATATTATTAAAATAAACTCAAACACATTCCATTTGTGTTATTTTAGGAGTTGGAGATAGACATTTAGACAATTTGTTGCTCACCACAAATGGCAAATTATTCCATATTGATTTTGGCTATATATTGGGACGTGATCCGAAACCAATGCCACCGCCTATGAAATTAAGCAAAGAAATGGTTGAAGCTATGGGCGGCGTCAGTTCAGAACATCATCATGAGTTTCGGAAACAATGTTATACAGCATTTTTACATTTACGACGTCATGCTAATGTTATGCTGAATTTATTCACACTTATGGTTGATGCCTCAGTTCCTGATATTGCGCTTGAACCTGACAAGGCTGTAAAAAAAGTTGAAGAAAATTTACAATTGGGTTTAACTGATGAGGAAGCTGTTCAACATTTACAGGGACTTTTAGATTTCTCAATAACCGCTGTAATGCCGGCATTAGTCGAGCAAATACATAAACTGGCTCAATATTGGCGAAAGTAGACTGGGAGTTACCAAATTCCTTTTTTTTTATGAACTCACAAGAAAACATAGCTTCAAAATTCAAAAGAATTATACTTAAGTTTGTTATCTTATTAGTTTTAATATAATTTATAATAAATATATATATTATGCCTATTTTATATTATGTCGTTTTTAGTGTCAAATATTGTCAATTTAATGAAAAACGAGTAAAGAAACGATGTCGTATGCTTTTGTTGCCATATATGTGACAAGTAACTTTTGAGTCAATTAATATTCTGGAAAAAACAGCCCAAATCCAATTTTAAGCCGATGTGGCAACAGAATATGAATTAACAACATGACAAATTGGCATTTTTGAGTCAATCTACATTCACGTAAAAGGAGTCGAAATTTAATTTTCCAATCGATATGGCAAACAAACAACATAAGTCATTTTTGCGCCAATTAACATTTAAGTAAAAAAGCAATCGAAATTTGATTTTTCAACCGATATGGCCACATAAAGTGAATTGACATGACAAGTAAATATTAAGTCAATCAACACTCAAATGAAAACATTCGAAATTTGATTTTTCAACCGATATGGCAACATAAAATGAATTGACATGACAAGTAAATATTGTCAATTAACATTCAAGTGAAAGCATTCGAAATTTAATTTGCCAACCGATATGGCAACTTAAAATGAATTGACATGACAAGTAAATATTAAGTCAATCAACATTTAAGTGAAAACATTCGAAATTTGATTTGTCAACCGATATGGCAACATAAAATGAATTGACATGACAAGTCAATATTAAGTCAATCAACATTCAAGTGAAAACATACGAAATTTAATTTGCCAACCGATATGGCAACTTAAAATGAATTGACATGACAAGTAAATATTAAGTCAATCAACATTTAAGTGAAAACATTCGAAATTTGATTTGTCAACCGATATGGCAACATAAAATGAATTGACATGACAAGTCAATATTAAGTCAATCAACATTCAAGTGAAAACATACGAAATTTAATTTGCCAACCGATATGGCAACTTAAAATGAATTGACATGACAAGTAAATATTAAGTCAATCAACATTCAAGTGAAAGCATTCGAAATTTGATTTTTCAACCGATATGGCAACATAAAATGAATTGACATGACAAATAAATATTGTCAATCAACATTCAAGTGAAAACATTCGAAATTTGATTTGCCAACCGATATGGCAACTTAGTATGAATTGACATGACAAGTAAATATTAAGTCAATCAACATTCAAATGAAAACATTCAAAATTTGATTTGTCAACCGATATGGCAACATAAAGTGAATTGACATGACAAGTCAATATTGTCAATTAACATTCAAGTGAAAACATTCGAAATTTAATTTGTCGACTGATATGGCAACTTAAAATGAATTGATATGACAAGTAAATATTGTCAATTAACATTCAAGTGAAAACATTCGAAATTTAATTTGTCAACCGATATGGCAACTTAAAATGAATTGACATGACAAGTCAATATTAAGTCAATCAACATTCAAGTGAAAACATTCGAAATTTAATTTGTCGACTGATATGGCAACTTAAAATGAATTGATATGACAAGTAAATATTGTCAATTAACATTCAAGTGAAAACATTCGAAATTTAATTTGTCAACCGATATGGCAACTTAAAATGAATTGACATGACAAGTCAATATTAAGTCAATCAACATTCAAGTGAAAACATACAAAATTTAATTTGCCAACCGGTATAGCAACGTAAAAATGAATTGACAACATTTTAATTGAAGTGACTAGATAAATCAAGAAAGTTATTGTCATAAATTAAATACATAAAACATAATAATTAAAATATAAATAAGATTAGAAATATTTTAAAAAGAATAACATAGTTAAAATGTCTGACAAAAGTTTACTTACTCCCATCTTAAACAAATCGGTAAAGTCCAGTGTTACCAAAAAACGAATTCGTAAAATGCAGTTAAATTGGAATCCTGAGCTAACCCAGAAATTTATAATGGAGGTAAAAATTAGAGAAGGTATGTGGAATATTTTCTCGAAGGACTATAAAGATAGAAATATACGAGAAGCTCTATGGCAGGAAGTGGTGGATATCATGGGGCTGCCCCGAATTGAAGTTTCGTCAAAATGGAATAGTCTTCGATGCTCGTTTAGAGTAATTTTTTAAAATACATAGATTATAAAAGTTACTAAAATTATACAATTTTAGGCAGCTTTCAACAAAATGAGCCGAAAAAAAAATGGAAAAGTGTCTGCACCAAATTCTGTATACAAATCCCTTAAATTTTTAGAGCCTACATTGCAAATTAGTGCACCGACAGCATCAAATTTAATTAATAAAACCGTCAAGTCTGATACGAAAGCTTATTTGGAATTGGATGACACTGAGTCAGAACCGTCAACTTCAACACCATTACCTAAGCAACGTCGAATAGAAAAGGATGATAACGAAGTTACAAAGGTGATTAAGCGAGGTTTGGAAACAACAACTGCTGCTGCAAAAAATGATATTTGGGATGTTCTGGGGAATTGCGTAACCTCTAATAGTCGAGAGTGGGCAGAAGAAGATTTGCAATTAGCTAGAGAATTTAAAAGCGATGTTTATGAACTCATCTCAAATTACCAGAAAAGATTCAATACACATCGCAGTGGAGATTTTGATTAGTTCGGTATAATATAATTCTTTTTCAATATTTTTAAAAATGAATGTAATATGTTTTTTTTTTTTGTAATTTATTGGAAGAATTAAAAAATTGAAAATTGTTGTGCTATATTACCATGAAATAGGGTGTTAGAAGATATTCCAAAATATTTTTCTCTACTACAGGGTTAGGCGATTGAAATGTTACCTATGTGGTTACCTATGTGGCCACATCACTCTAGCTCGATGTGGCCACACTTTATCTTGGCTATGGACTTTAAACCGTTAATAAATTAGTTGCATGCTTCACGAATGTGATCTTCCGGTATTTTGGTCCTTTCATTAACAATGGCTTTTTTTCAGTGCATCCATAATTGATTACACTTCAATCGCCTAATTCTGTACTATTTGTGATATTGCTTGGCTGTTCTCTGGTGCTGGTTGACCGAATTGATTCAATATTTTAGGAGTGGGAGACGTACTAATCGCGCTAATTATCACGCATAACAACACAATATAATTATTGATATTAAAAAATTGTTTAAAGCGTAAATCGCGGACCAGCTATATTAATATTTTATGGTTCATTAGTCTTCTAAATATTTGGCACCTTGCTACGAAAGTTCTAAATAGTATATTGAGGTAGCCTGTAATCTTATGGGCCAACACTTGTTCCTGATAGGAAAATAACAAACTAATTACTATAATAAGCAGCTTTCTTTCATTGATCCAGAACGGTTACAGTAGTAGAAGGGACTACGTCTTGGAGCCACCTGTCTGCACAGAAGACTAAGTGCGCTTATCCATTCCAAACAGGCATATGCTAATACTTGTTGTTGTTTTAACCCGCTAGGATCAGTTTGTCATTATCCTTTGGGGATGGTAAACGGCACTTGGTCGTTGTGGTGACTCCAGGACATAGACCGGTCGTGGAAGTGACACTTGATATTGTTGTTGTAACCCGCTGGGACCTGCCAACAGATAACATGAAAGAATATGCAAGACCCATGTATTATTATTATTATTGTTAGGGGATGTAGCATTGCGACCGTCGGGTCTATTGTGCCCCCTTCTGGGCTTAGAGTAGGTCTTTAACCCCTGTAGCGTCAATAAAAAGTACTATAGAACCTACTTTACAGAGTTGTATTGCCTCTTCCGTAAGAATATTTCGTATGTGCATTAGCGCAAGGCATTCTAACAGCACATGTGTGGCCGACTCCTCATTCTCTTCACAGAATCCACAGTTTGCATCCGTAAGTATACCCAGTTTCGAAGACCCATGTAATCGGGTGGGGAAGTAGATGGGTAGTGATTGGAAGTGATGGAGGGGCAATGAGTATAAGGAGTGGATTTGATGGGTGGAATTTAATTGAATGAGAAACCATAGAGAGTAGAGAAGTAGTGCTATAGTTTGGCGACATCTGTAACATGAGAGATAACTTCAAAGAGCTGAGTATTTGCTTTTGACTAGCAGTAAACAATGAAGGATTCGATTCGGATGATTACTAGATAAATAATTTTACATAATTTTTTAATTTTAATTAATTATACACAGTGTTACGCACAATTTTATTAAAATGAATTTATATTTGTTAACATAAATAACTAAATTTTTTAATACAATTTTACTATTTTTATTTATTTTTTTTTAAGATATATTGCAGATTTGTATAATGTTTAGAATAGACCACGAATAATTAATTAATTCAATAATGTTCAATATTTGGTTTGCAAATTATATATTTTCTATATACATATATGGGAGTACGTGACATATTTATGCATAGACAGGTTTATGCGTATCAGTGGTAATTGTGTCTGATTTTTCTTAAAAATTTTTTATTTCTCTATTTCATTAACTATTTTATAAATGCAATTATGGATTTATCTAAATAATCTCGGAGGCTTGTAGTAGTTTCAAAGATCATAAGTCTATATCATAAAATATCTTATTTGTTAATATACAAACGAATATATTTTTAAAAATTACTTTACTTATAATTATGTTTTAAATATTTAAATAATTTATGTAAGATGGATATTTATTAAAATTACACAAAAAAAAAAATTAAAAAAGAATTCTATTAAAATTATGAGCTGAATCAGACTATTAAAAATACAACCCAAACTTTTTATGTCTTCCAGTTTCAACATTAGTTCTGCTCTTATAACTACATTTAATGTGGTTAAAAGTTGCGCTTGTTTCATAATTACAATTCAACTTCTTTTTAGAAAATTGGATTAAAAATATTGAATTAAATGTAGAATTTATATTAATTAAAAATTAATTTGACGTTTGGCTTTAGCGCAATTCGCATTGAATTCAGACACTAATTGCGATTGCGTTTTAAGACCAGAACCGACACGTACATTTGTATTAGAATTTGAGTCTGCATAGGGACTTACATTTCTTTGATCCTTACCTGTGAAGTTTTTCTGTGCTGACCTACGTAGTTCACAATCAACGTTTTCCCGCAATGCCAAGCCACCAAGATTATTTTTGGATGAACTATTTGGTAAAGCAGAATTCGATTGCGATATTTGCGAAGAAAGCTTGCTCGATCCAACTGAATTTTGTGAATAATTTATATCGTCTTGAGGTATAATCTCTAAAAGATTGGATTGTGAAGTAGAGTGTTCATAAAAACCAGACGAAGTGTGACTAAAGCTAAATGAATCTATTGAAGTCTCTGTACTGAATAGATTTTGCAATGAACCATGCTGGCTCTGTTGACAGTTCTTACGTTGCTGATACTCGTCTGGTGGTATATATCCAGAAAGACGACTACAAGAGAGTCGTTTATTATCATCAATTTGCGCTTTAGCGTGAAAATAAATATCGTCCGCAGTTTTACCAGATACAACATTATAAACATATTTCTTAGCCAATCTGTAAAATTTGAAAAATTTTATTAATAAATTAATTTCTTTAATATCATATATTATAGATATTTAAAATAGATATAAAGTGTTGGAATTTGTTTTAAATAAATCTTAAAGGAAATTTTTAATAATGATTTTAAATTAGAAACGAAGTCTAGACGTCACGTGAATAATTCTATTCCATAATTCAACATACTTGAATAAAGATTTTTCAGGTTCTCAGTACTGTAAGAGTGAATAATACGAAATAGAAATGAACAAAATATCATCCACCTTATAAACTTAAAAAGCTTTAAGGGCCAATAAAAGAACTCGTTTGGAAAAAATGTATTCATTTAAATCATATGTTTAACTTTTGTTCTTATCCAAATACTAGGTAAGAATAGTTTGCAAACAAATTAACATTATTTAATAATTTTTACTGACGAAAACATGAAAATAATGTATAAAATCATCATGATTATATATACAAAATTTACTCAACAGTGATAGTATTCATTCTTTTGTAAAAATGCAACGTATAAGATTGGTTTGTCGCGTAATCCGAAAGCCGGATAACAGCTTATTCGAGTGGAAAAGGGAGATAAGTTGTCTCTGAAGCAACAAGTATTACCAATAAATTATATTAATATAATGAAATAACTATAAATAATATAACAGTAGTAATAATATTAATAATATTAATATAAATAATATTAATATAAATAATATAAATATAAATAATATAAATATAAATAATATAAATATAAATAATATATAATAATAGTTGTGTTATGTTAAGCCTTTTCCGAGTTAGTGCTTCTAGGCACTTTTACTCTATGATAGCTGGGGGGATTATGCATAGTCCCGCTCATCTCACTGACTAATTTGAGTATTCCTGATAATCTTCATTATTAATCAATGATTGATCTAAGATCTGCGTACGGCTGCGTGCGGTTAGTGATTACTCTGAGATTAGACAGTGCTAAGTAGGGCAGCCTATTGGTTTTCGCATATAGCTTCAGAGTTCTATCCCGTATGTATTTTTTGATCGTATCTATTCTAAGATCTCTTAGCATGCCATTCGTGCGAATGTACCATCGTACTTTGAAGAGCCTTCGGAGAGCATAACTTTGAGCAACTTGTAGCTTTTGGATAGTAGACTCAGCAATAATAATAATATAAATATAATATAAATAATATGGTTGGACATTTAGATGAGTGTCTAACTAATAATGGTTTCCCACCATTAATTGTTAATTGTATTTTTATTTTATTGGAGATTTTCTTCACCTAAAATTTAAACATAAACTTTTTACAATATCTTACCGTAACATTGTTTCGCTATTGCTCGTACTGCTCTTCTGATAGAATTCTTGGAAAATCCTTCTTACAACCCTAGCTAAAACTGAAGCAAATTGTTTGAAGCTTGTATGTTGAGCAGTAATTTTCTTCTCTTGCAGTGCTTGTGAAACAGCCCAAAGCAATTTCTATACATTTTTATTATAAAAAATAAAAAAAAAATAATTTATTACAATTATTGTTAACATCATAATTACTAACCTTTCGTTGGTTTTCTGTAAGGGAGTTACTTGGCATTACCATATCAGAATGAGCTCGTTGTATTTTTGAATTTGTTGCTAAACAAATACGACTAGAGTTATTGGATAAGCCGGTTTTCTCACTTTCTGTCAGTGAAGTGCTGTTAAATGTAGTTGTAGCGGTTGAAGAGGTAAAGGAGGAACCAGCTCCAATACAAAAACTCTGACTTTTAATTTTCAAAGCACGCGGTGTTAAATTTTCAGCACTACTGCGAAACTGTTTATTTCTTTGAGTTGAAAATTCCATTGCATCGACAGCATCATTATCATCATCTTCAATGCGTTTACGTTTAAGTACCGATTCAAATTGCGTGTTTTTGCAAGGTAAAGATTTGAAAATATCACTTTGATCACTTACAGAGGATTTTCCTGACGTTTCTGGAGAAAAGAGCGCACGTTTAGATTTCTCCACGCGATTTGCAATTTCAGGTTTTATTGGCAGTTTTTGTATAATATTTTTAGGTACAGATTTTTTGGCAGGACTTTGAAATAGTGCTCTTTTCGAAGTTTCACGTGATGGTACTGGTTTCATGAGATCATGGTATAAGCGTTTGCGAGCTGAAGAAGTAGGTGTTTTTCGATCTTAAACATAATTATAGAATTAAATATAGATTTTATATATATGCTTAAGAAAAAAATTTGAATTTGAAACTTACATGTGTTATTGATTGTCATACGTTTAGGAGTTGCCTTTCGTCTTTTTTTATGTTTACTATTGTATGAAAAAAAAGGAATGTTTCGCATTATATTTGACACCAAATAATTTGAATTAAGTTGTATTAAATTACAGATGAGATTCATTGTTTTAAGAAACGAAAAAAGAATTATAAGTTTTTAACAAAAACCAAGTCGAGTCTAAATTTATGAAACTTGGTAGTACATTGGGTCAGTATTTGTGCTCAAATAAGATTTAATATACTTGGTATACTTTGCAAAACTTTGTCATAGTTTTGAACAAAAATATTTTCTAGTCTAAATTAACTAACCGTGGTATTACAATGGGCTATTGTTTGTGCTCAAGTGAGTTTTGCTCAATAAACCTGTCTTCATGTGTGCGATATTAAAATTACTAGTTATTTAAATTATTTTAAAACAATCTATCAATTTGGTTAAAATTGATAATAATCTTCCTAGGTTAGGTTAGGTTTAAAATGCGCGTGTTTATGCGTGTATCAACACTTAGGTCCACGTTATGCAAACGATTAATTACTCACTAAATTTTTCAATGCTTTCAATTATTTTACATTGAAATGTGGTATGTATAATGGCCCTTACACTCAGCCTTTCTCCATTGTAATACTCATTTAATTGCCAGGAAAAAGCATGATCTTTTTAATATGATATTCTGATATTCTTCTATATCTTGTTTTATATTTTATATTTCTACCAAGACATTAAGGATTCACATTCTTATTTATTGCAAAGAAGCATCCTTTATATAAAAAAAAACATTGTCAAAGAAACTCACTCTTTATTTATTACTATTTGTGGTCCCAGAGAAGTGTTTGATTTTTGTGAAGTTGTTGCTAGATTAGCTGATGAAAATATCGCTCTCCTTTTTGCTAAATGACTAAGTCGATTGCCTGGTGATTGTGGCAATAATCTAATTAAGAATGAAATTTATTTTTTTTTGTAAGTTAATGTAAGTTCATTTCATTAATTTTATACAAACATACTTCATGCGCAAATTACGTTTTTTAGCGCTTGACGGTGAATTTCTGAACGATGACTTAGTTTCTGCTCCAATATAACGTTCAATAACTGCCAAACTTAAATATTCATTACTTTCAGATGATTTATTTAAGTTATAACTGCAAATATTTGGAATTTCAAGTTATATTATAATTTTATTATGTATAAAAAAAATTGCTTACCATAAGCCATGATATCTTACACCTAAAATATCTCTCCAAGTAATTGATTTAGCTGCTTCTAATGTATGTGTTGGTTTCAAAAGACTATTTACTGAATTGGAATCGCTTTCTTCTGCTATTGGCGATTTAAAAAAGTTTAAAATGTTCTTTTTATTATTTAGCACAGCTGTAAATAGATCCAATTGTGGTATTGTAAGAGACGGTGGAGGTGGCAGACCTGCAAGACTCTTACGCGTACGTTTAAGTAGTTCTCTTTCACGCTTACAATTATTATGAAACATAGTTTGTGCATCATTACCATTTTGTGTAGTCTCATCGAAAATTGTATCATCGGCAAAACTCGACTCTGTTGGGCAGTTCAAAGATTTATTTATGCTTGTATCTATTTCATATTTTGTTTCTATTTCTTCCGTAAATGAAATTGCATTAGATTTATTATTCGTCAGACTTTCAACTTTACTTAATTCCAGACTATTATCTTTAAATGATTGCTCATCACTATTATCTACACTGGTATTGGAATCATCATCATCATCATCATCATCTTCACCAAATAAGTCCGGTGATTTTTCGTTGCTATATTTTTTTAATATAAAAGATTGATTATGTTGCGAGGATATTACAGGTGTTTCTAATCTTGGTAATGACGGAGTGTGGTCTGTTTTTCTTTGTGGCAGTTGGTTTTCTACATCATCCAGAGTTACTATGTTTGCTGTTAAGTTTTTAATTTTTCCATTAAAAGATAACTCAGAAGATAAATTTGTATCACTTGATTGAGATATTTTCTTCTCCATATCAATACTATCATTTCTTGGGAAATAACTATTTTGCGAAATGTTTTCATTAGGTAATTGCATGTCCACTGCATTGCAGCTATTTTCTTCAATAAGCGTGTCAAAAAAATTTGGTAATAGTGATCTTCCTTTCGATATACCTTCTTGAATTATGTCCAACTTTTTTGAATTAAATGCGCAAAAATCCACTTTTTTCTTGCCATATGTACTATCGTCAAATCCTTTGAATGGTGATTCCTCGCCAGAGTATATAGTAGATATATAACTGGATTGCTTTTCATATTGTAAACACGTTTTCTCTTCGTATGACTTGCAACTATTCGACGAACTTGGGTTTTCTGTTGTTATAACTGTAACTTCGTTGCTGTAAGACGGCGGTTTAAGTATTTGCTGGAAATTAATAGCATCAATAGCAAATGAGTTGCAATAATCATTGGGTTCACTTAACGAAGACTACAAATAAATAGAATTTGCCAAAAAAAATATGATTAAGTTTATTTGAATTTTTAATATAAAATTTCACATACCCCGCTTCCAGATGATGGTTCCGATTCATAACTGTTATTAATTTTCACTGGCCGAACAGGGTGCATTTTTGCTCATATTAATAAATAGTTCTTAAAAGCATAAGTTGGAAATTTAATTGATAAATTATTATTAAGTTTATATTGCTATTTTAAGAATTATATGAAGAGTTGGACGCAAGGCTCTAACGCTTTTGTGCAATTTTTGCTTACAAAAACATTTCGTTAAATATACGGGTATATGAAATTGTTAATAAAACCTATGAAAACATTTTGCTTTTAAGCATTTAGTTTTACTTTTTAAGCTAACTGAAGCAATAAGAATTTAAGCGATTTTCCATCAACTCTGAATTCTATAATCGCTTTGCGCCTAAATTGCCCAAATTGTGATAACACTACTTTCTCTCTTTAACCTATACTGAACGCTCATAATTTTTGGCTGCTTTTTAAGGGAAAGATATCGTTGAAATGCTGCCAGATCGTTTTATTTTTTATGTATATCGTAGATCTTATGTTATATTCTAACTTTTTATTTCCGAATCATATTTTTAACAGTAATTTTTTCGAGTTCTTTTCACCTGTCAAATAGGCAGCGAGATATATTTATTTCGTATGATTGCTTTTTAAGGGCCATGTTATGCGGCAAAATAAATTTGCAGACTGTCACATCAGTATTGCCAATGTAGTATGTATGTATAATGTATGTATGTAAACGTAGCATAATACGGCGTTTAAATTGTGAGATTAAAAGTAGATTAAAGCAATAATCTACTTTTAAGACAAAAGTTAATCTCATTAAAGTCGAGATTAATTTTTAATCTTCTTAGAAATGGTGATTATTTTTCTGTGCAACTCTGTAAATGTCTTAATATCGTAGATTTTTTATGATACTAGAAGAATTACAAGAGAAATGTCAAAATTTATTCAAAATAAACAATGAAAATTTGAAAATGCCGAAGTGTGAAATTTTTTGTTAAATTTGTTCAATAATAGTTCTGTATATAAGGTCTGTTAAATTTTTGTTATAAAACTTTTTATTAAATTTATACTATAATATTTTTGTACAATTATAATTAAATTGTATAATTTTGTTTTTATTTTTTTGAGTTGTTACGTCGAAAATATTTTAAAAAATATTTAAAATTAAATTGTAATTTGTATAAAATTAAATTGAAATTAAAATCGTTATTCACAATAGCGCAATTGTATAGCGATATTGAAAGTAATTTTTATAAACTTAATAAGTCTAATAAAATTGAATATTGTGATTTTTAGCATTTTTACTTATGAGCACAATTGTATAAATAGAAATGAAAAACAAAATTAAAATTGAGTAATAGTACATTCACACTGTCTCATTTAGGCGGTTTTGCTCGTTATAACCAATTATGATAATTTAGCATACAAAAATCATTCATATAAATGAGCTCATTATCAATAAATCAGTTTATTAAGGGCGGAAATTGACGAAAACAGCGCCTAAAAATAAATTACCTATTAGGGAAATTACCAGTAGTTTTAATATTTGCCATATATTTCACATGTGAAATGTAAACAAACAATAGCTGAGCTGTAAGCAAAGACACTGAGGAAGTAAGTATTTAATAAAATGTTTGTTTTTATTAATTGAATATGTAATTGATATATGAAATGTTTATAAATTAATTAGCCTATGTGCGAGTTCGAGTAAATTGATGGTAAATTGGGGGAAATAGTAAATTATGTCGGCATGGCAGCGAATATTGGTATTTACGGGAATTTTGAGTAGGGTAAATTAGATAAATATTAGGTAAATTAGTTGTCACCATATAATAATAATTATATTGTGAACATTTTCTCATTAATATAAATGAGCAAGTACCTAAATAGAATACTGTGAATGTACTATAAGATTTATTACTGTGTCACATTTTTACATAGTAACATTCATTTTTAATAAAGGTCATTTTTTTTTCAGTGTATGAAATACATATTTCGCTGTTTGAATAACAAAAACAAAAAATTGTGTAGAATTCAATAAAAGTAAACAAATCGAAGAGTGTGAAATTGTCATTTTAGTGCTAAATAAATTTTTAATTAAAAAAATAAGTAAATAATGCCACTTACTGCAGAAAGCGCAACGCAACAAATTGAGGTAGATATATATTTTATATTTATTTTATATTATACTTTAATTGTGAACATTTTTTAGGAACGCTTAAAAGAATTGCGCCGATTAATTCATCAAATTGAAGATGATCGTCGTCGGTCAGAAAATGATATTAACAATATAATTCGTGGTCAACAAGCTAATTTAGCACCACCGAAATTAAAAGCATTGTATAAATCAGGTTTGCAAGATGCCATACAAGAGGAAGCTAGCACAAGAACAGCACTTGAGAAAATACAAGAAATACGTAACATTCGCAATGAACGTCGTATACAGGCACGGGATGCCGGCAACAAGGAGGCCATACGACGTGGAGCACATATGAAGATGGTACAAATATCTGCACAAACATTGCCACTCTTCGTAAGTAAACCTGGTGAAAAAGTTCCTCCGCTCTGCGGAGCAATACCAGCGGATAGTAGTTATATAGCAAAAGTCGGAGATAATGTGGCAGCATTAGTTAAAAGCGTGGACGAGGAAGAAAATTGGATATTGGCTGAAGTAGTGCAATTTTTAACAAGACAAAATAAATATGATGTTATTGATATCGATGAAGAACAAAAAGATAGACATGTTCTGAGTAAGCGTAATATTATACCCTTACCATTAATGCGAGCTAATCCAGAAACTGATGGTCATGCACTATTTTCCAAAGGAACAATGGGTATATAATGCAATATTAATTATATCTGGTAAAATAATTATAATTAAAACTAATTTTAATTTTAAAGTTTTGGCACTATATCCCCGGACTACGTGTTTCTACAATGCAATTGTACATAAATTGCCAGAGACTGCAAAGGATGACTATGAAGTACTATTTGAGGATTCTTCATATTCAGATGGCTATGCAGAACCGCTACCGGTGGCTCAACGTTATGTCATTACATATAGACCAACAAAGAAAGGAAGCAACGGCGGAAGTGGAAGTGTTTCATCAGCATAAGCAATAAATAATATAACAATTAATTTCTTAAATATAAAATTATTTACTTAATAAATATTGTACAGTTTTATATTTAAAACTTAATCTACTCATCCGTATCTTCATTCTCATCTTGTTCCATGGCATCATCTTCAGCATCATCACCATGGCCACTATCGCCCTCCACTTCGTCTTTTATGTGTAATTCAAATCCATCGTCTTTACTCCAAGAACATTTAATTGCTAGCCTGAATTTGGCCATTGGATTTGCAATAAGCTTAAGAATTCTTGCTTGTTCAGGCGTTAAGATTTTACCTTCTTCACAGACTGTATACGCACTGTACAATGTTACGACGCCCTAGAAATAATTATTATTATTATCAGTGAACTGTAAAAACATCTAATATTTAAATATTTACCTTCTGTAGTTTAACTGGCATACCGAGTGATCTTAAATGTGGCTCCATAGAATGTGTGAATTCTTCTAGTGGACCTTCCGGTAATGTGACTGTTTCTGTAGCGACGAAACCACTGCGTGCATATTCAACCGCCCAATAGCTTTCTGCCCAATCTAAAACTTCCTTTTTGGATTTTGTGGTAAATAAAAGACCAACTTGGCCATTTAAACGCTTTGATACCTGTAATTAGGGTTTAGGGTTTTAGTTACATAATAAATTTTTTATATATTATAGTTTAAACATACTTCATGTAAACCTGGTTCAATTTCTTCTGCTTCTGTGCGACCAAGTCCAATCTGCATAATTCGATTCTTGCCAAAGAAAAATCTTGAATTTTCCTTCCATTCATGTCGTAAATCTTTCAGTAGATTATTTCTCATATTTTGTACTTGAAACACGAATATATTTGTGTAAATTCCTACACATTTTCGTATATCTTCTATAATACGTTGTTTCCAAGCAAGACCTTTACGATCAGTTTTCGTAAGGGAAACTAATAAAAAAAAATAAATAAAATTAAACTTGCCATAATTGCAAATCTAACTTAATAATAATTATTTACTTTTCTTATCCCTTTTTGAACGCGGCATATTTAATGCAGAGTTTTTACTAAAGCTTTATATTTTGAAATGAAACACAATAAAAGGCACAACACGTGCGCTACTGAAGCAACAATGTGAAATGCAAAAACGAAACGTACCAAAATGTCAAAACACTGAGTAAAGATAATAGTTTGTGCTGCCACGTAATTAAAGAAGTTTTTATGTTTTCACAAAGAAATCAAAAAATAAAAAGATATCAGTAAAATAAATGTTGATGGTATATTGGCAGAAATAGTAAATTATGTCGGTATGGCAGCGAATATTGGTATTTACCAGAATTTCGAGTAGTAAATTAGATAAAAATTAGGTAAATAAGGTGTTACCATTGTGAACATTTTGTAGAATGTTTATTAAATAAATAAACAAATTAAAAAAATTTTAAACAAAAATAAGGAATGAGTGCAATAAATAAACAAAAAAATATTTGCAGAAGTGCAGTGCAAATAATCTCTAGGAAATTTTAATTTATTTACCTCAGTTTACTGGAACTCGCTCATGGCCATAATTGTAATAATTTTACAGTTTATATGCTTCTACAATTAGATTAATAAATAACAAAAAACGGAAACCAGAGGAAAAATTATAAATATTACAAAAAATTTTAAGTTAAAAAATTTAATAACTGAAATTTCATTAAAAATTAAATGAACGGCCTAGTTCGCACACGGCTTAGTGTGCGAATTCGAGTAAATTGAGGTAAATAAACTAAAATTTCTTAGGGATTTTATGCACTGCACTTATGTAAATATTTTATTATTTATTTATTGCCCTTATTTATTATTTTTGGTTAAAAGTTTTCAAATTTATTTAATAATTACCTTATCCAATTTTCACAATGATAACACCTAATTTATCTACGTTTTATCTAATTTGCGCTATTCGAAGTTCTGGTAAAAACCAAAATTCGCTCCCATACTGACATAATTAACTATTTCCATCAATTTACTCGAACTCATAATACATAAATAAACATATATCGTTTTAATTTATAATCTAATAATAATTACATTTTTTTTATATATTTATACTTCAAATAAATTTAGTACACATTTTAATATTAAGTACACTACAGACGGTTACAAACCATTTTTAGAGACTTGTCTTTTTTATAATGAATTTTTTAATTTAAATAAATAACTATTTATGCAAATGTTAAGGAGTACATATAAATATCAGAAACCAATGAAACTCAAATATATATAAACTGAATTGCATATTAAAATATTATTGTACAATTTTGATTAGTGGACAAATCAAATTTTTATTCATGCGTAGCAAGTCTCCAACAATGTTTGGCAAAATCGTTGCGTTTGTACATCACTTTATGTTACCACGTGCATGACAATTCACCATCGAGTTAACTTAGTTGCGTTTGTCAATTATTTATTTTAGGTGAAAAAATAAATCTGAAAAATTTTCTTTTATTGTTGGTTATTACTCATTCGTTTTTGTATTTACTCGGTTGAAGTGGTGTGTGAACCTGAAGCTCCATAAATTTTTGCAAATCAATTTTTTGGGATAAAAGTATTCTATTTTAGACTGGTAAGTTTGATATTGCTATAAATTATTTTACTTATAATTAATATAAATAAGTAAATGACAATACTCTATTTGTGAATATAAATATTGGTGTTGAAATACAATTGCAAAAATTTATTCGAGAACTCAGAAGAAAGTAGGCAGCAAGAAGACTAATGCCGTTAAAAAAGAATAAAAAAAAAAAAAATTGCACGCCGGAATATTTAGCAGTGAAAAATGCGCATTTATAATTAACACATATTCGGTGAAAATATAAAACTTTAGATTTTCAGTTCTATTACAGTTTTTATTTCTCTAACGGTTATTTAGTATAAATGTTATGCATTATGCTTTCATACTTTTATTCCGAAAATTCAGTGGATTTTTGGTTAGAAAAATATCTTTAAATGTATTGGTGCAACGATTGGCGTCTATGACGCTGGGATGACGTAATGCCGATTGTGACATTAAATTCCAGTAACTAAATAATTAAGCTTATTAAATAAATAATTAGAGATATTAGTGCAAAATTGACGTTTATGGTTAGATTTAAATTGGTGAGTTAAGTAAAAGTGCTGAATGAATCAGTTGTGCGGTTTATGAATCATATGAATCAAAAATTTAAAAATATTTAAATATTTTACTTTTATTTTTACTCTTATTCGACCCACCCCTTATTAAGGCCGATATTGACTTAACATAAATATTCTTTTATATACGTACAACATAGAACTTATCAGAAACTATACCTGCTCTATGTGAATTTTTCTACACCGTCCTGTCTCTTAAGAAATGGGGGGAATAACCCAAACAATATATTTTATATAATTATATATAAAAATTCATTAAAATCCTTAATATATAATATGACATCTTAAAATTAATCAATTTACTCTCTTACGGCACTAAATTTAGGTCTGTTGAACTTTTATACCTAAAATTTGCCCCATTTACTCCTCAGTACGAAATCACCATCTTAGTTTTTTACTTACAGTCTTTAGAGACAATAAATCTCAAATTTTCAACTGCACTGATCCGCAGTCAACTAAGGCAATACTCTCATATATATTAAATAGTCTTAAAATCAGATCATTTATTATAAACGAATAAGATTTGCTTTTCCCTAAAAATTTTTTGTAGATATATTTATATATATAATTATTTTCCTACTATTTATAACCTTTTTGTTTTTATCGCTTACCTCTTAAACCTAACTATAAGTATACATCAAACCTCCTTCTGTTACAACTCTAAGTTCCAGTTGGATTTCAGTAGATATATCATAAGACTCAAAATTATAATGATGTTTAACCATATATATATTATATATTATTTGCGCTCACCCACCATGTGGCTTGAATAATCATCCTGAACTTATTTAACTAATTAGCTTAGCTAATTGAGCTTAGATAAAATTAATCCTTTTAACTATTTTTTTAAATTCTTATTAAAAAAAATAAATTAAAGTTCTCATCTTATCTTATTATTTATTTAAGTTATAAGCGGCGATCTAAGTATACATAAATTAAATAAAATAAAATAGAATATTAATAATAGCGAATGTAAAGGAATTTTTACTACTGAAGTCAATAAGTTTGAAGTTATATTTGCTTTATTCTATGAGAATTCTTCTGTAATCTTAAAAGAAAAAAGTAGAATATCAAACGCAATAAAAGTAAAGGAACTTCTTTGACTGAAGTCCACAAGTTCCAAGTTGTTTTTCTTATTTTTCCATTCAGATACTTTTCGTCCAGAACTTTCTCGTATCTTATTTTTTGCATGTGTTAAGTGTAAAGGTCACTCTTTAAGATAGTGAATTAGAAAATATCTTACTGAAAACCTTTTGTAAATTAATTTCGAATTATATTGTAATATCAGCTATTAACTGCTATTTATGAAGAATCGTCTAAACACAAATATTTAAATGCCCGTGCCCTTAATATGTAGTTTTGTATAGTATATATTTAGTTTAATATAGTTTAAAGACTTTAAATTTTGTATATATATTATCAAGTTATCTGTACACAATATTTCTGACTAAATTAAGCTACTGTATATATCTAAAATTGATTTATTGTATTATAGATCATCGTTTACGGCAGCTGTTGAAACCAGTTCACCTCAGTAGTGCGTTGCGAAAAAAACAATGGAAAAAAATATTGAACAAAGAGTTTGCATCAAATTTTGTGTTTCGAACGAAATTTCGTGTGCAGAATCGTTGCGAATGCTACAAAAGGATTATGGGGAATCAGTTTTATCGAAAACTCAAGTTTATGAGTGGTACAAAGCCTTTCAGGACGGTCGTACGACCGTCGAAGACATGCCGCGTTCTGGACGACCTTCGACCTCTACCACCGACGAAAACATTGAAAAGGCAAAGGAATGATGATACACAATGATAACACCTAATTTATCTACGTTTTATCTAATTTGCGCTATTCGAAGTTCTGGTAAAAACCAAAATTCGCTCCCATACTGACATAATTAACTATTTCCATCAATTTACTCGAACTCATAATACATAAATAAACATATATCGTTTTAATTTATAATCTAATAATAATTACATTTTTTTTATATATTTATACTTCAAATAAATTTAGTACACATTTTAATATTAAGTACACTACAGACGGTTACAAACCATTTTTAGAGACTTGTCTTTTTTATAATGAATTTTTTAATTTAAATAAATAACTATTTATGCAAATGTTAAGGAGTACATATAAATATCAGAAACCAATGAAACTCAAATATATATAAACTGAATTGCATATTAAAATATTATTGTACAATTTTGATTAGTGGACAAATCAAATTTTTATTCATGCGTAGCAAGTCTCCAACAATGTTTGGCAAAATCGTTGCGTTTGTACATCACTTTATGTTACCACGTGCATGACAATTCACCATCGAGTTAACTTAGTTGCGTTTGTCAATTATTTATTTTAGGTGAAAAAATAAATCTGAAAAATTTTCTTTTATTGTTGGTTATTACTCATTCGTTTTTGTATTTACTCGGTTGAAGTGGTGTGTGAACCTGAAGCTCCATAAATTTTTGCAAATCAATTTTTTGGGATAAAAGTATTCTATTTTAGACTGGTAAGTTTGATATTGCTATAAATTATTTTACTTATAATTAATATAAATAAGTAAATGACAATACTCTATTTGTGAATATAAATATTGGTGTTGAAATACAATTGCAAAAATTTATTCGAGAACTCAGAAGAAAGTAGGCAGCAAGAAGACTAATGCCGTTAAAAAAGAATAAAAAAAAAAAAAATTGCACGCCGGAATATTTAGCAGTGAAAAATGCGCATTTATAATTAACACATATTCGGTGAAAATATAAAACTTTAGATTTTCAGTTCTATTACAGTTTTTATTTCTCTAACGGTTATTTAGTATAAATGTTATGCATTATGCTTTCATACTTTTATTCCGAAAATTCAGTGGATTTTTGGTTAGAAAAATATCTTTAAATGTATTGGTGCAACGATTGGCGTCTATGACGCTGGGATGACGTAATGCCGATTGTGACATTAAATTCCAGTAACTAAATAATTAAGCTTATTAAATAAATAATTAGAGATATTAGTGCAAAATTGACGTTTATGGTTAGATTTAAATTGGTGAGTTAAGTAAAAGTGCTGAATGAATCAGTTGTGCGGTTTATGAATCATATGAATCAAAAATTTAAAAATATTTAAATATTTTACTTTTATTTTTACTCTTATTCGACCCACCCCTTATTAAGGCCGATATTGACTTAACATAAATATTCTTTTATATACGTACAACATAGAACTTATCAGAAACTATACCTGCTCTATGTGAATTTTTCTACACCGTCCTGTCTCTTAAGAAATGGGGGGAATAACCCAAACAATATATTTTATATAATTATATATAAAAATTCATTAAAATCCTTAATATATAATATGACATCTTAAAATTAATCAATTTACTCTCTTACGGCACTAAATTTAGGTCTGTTGAACTTTTATACCTAAAATTTGCCCCATTTACTCCTCAGTACGAAATCACCATCTTAGTTTTTTACTTACAGTCTTTAGAGACAATAAATCTCAAATTTTCAACTGCACTGATCCGCAGTCAACTAAGGCAATACTCTCATATATATTAAATAGTCTTAAAATCAGATCATTTATTATAAACGAATAAGATTTGCTTTTCCCTAAAAATTTTTTGTAGATATATTTATATATATAATTATTTTCCTACTATTTATAACCTTTTTGTTTTTATCGCTTACCTCTTAAACCTAACTATAAGTATACATCAAACCTCCTTCTGTTACAACTCTAAGTTCCAGTTGGATTTCAGTAGATATATCATAAGACTCAAAATTATAATGATGTTTAACCATATATATATTATATATTATTTGCGCTCACCCACCATGTGGCTTGAATAATCATCCTGAACTTATTTAACTAATTAGCTTAGCTAATTGAGCTTAGATAAAATTAATCCTTTTAACTATTTTTTTAAATTCTTATTAAAAAAAATAAATTAAAGTTCTCATCTTATCTTATTATTTATTTAAGTTATAAGCGGCGATCTAAGTATACATAAATTAAATAAAATAAAATAGAATATTAATAATAGCGAATGTAAAGGAATTTTTACTACTGAAGTCAATAAGTTTGAAGTTATATTTGCTTTATTCTATGAGAATTCTTCTGTAATCTTAAAAGAAAAAAGTAGAATATCAAACGCAATAAAAGTAAAGGAACTTCTTTGACTGAAGTCCACAAGTTCCAAGTTGTTTTTCTTATTTTTCCATTCAGATACTTTTCGTCCAGAACTTTCTCGTATCTTATTTTTTGCATGTGTTAAGTGTAAAGGTCACTCTTTAAGATAGTGAATTAGAAAATATCTTACTGAAAACCTTTTGTAAATTAATTTCGAATTATATTGTAATATCAGCTATTAACTGCTATTTATGAAGAATCGTCTAAACACAAATATTTAAATGCCCGTGCCCTTAATATGTAGTTTTGTATAGTATATATTTAGTTTAATATAGTTTAAAGACTTTAAATTTTGTATATATATTATCAAGTTATCTGTACACAATATTTCTGATTAAATTAAGCTACTGTATATATCTAAAATTGATTTATTGTATTATAGGTGATCTAGAACTTGTTAATAGAAAGTAAAATTCACTTAGTAAAATATTCATATATTCTTATAGTTTTTTAGTCCCTATAACATTTTTCACCTTTTTTGTAGTAATTTTCAATATAAAATCATTATTTTATTTTTATAGATTTTTAAGCCATAAACTATAATGCACATTAACTAATTATTTTTTAATAATGGTTTTTATATATTTTTTATCCGGCTATATGTCACTTTTTGTTAAAATTAAAATTCATTGTTTGTTTAATATTTTTTGATATATTCTATATTTCGACTTTCCTTAAGAGTCATCATCAGGATCAGGATCTAATATAAATATTAATATTAATAAAATTTATATCTATATTGCACTGTAACAACTAATTTTTTTTTTAACTTAAGAATTTTAGACTAGATATTAGACATTGACAAAGTATGTTCTATATAACTCAGCCTCTATTTAGTTTCAGTAGTTAAACACAATTTATCACAGTCATTTTAGCCGGTTTACTTCCAGTTATTGTTTTTCGTTTCCTCTTGATTTCTTTTGAGCTGTTGTGATCGGGTCTTCAAACTATATTCTAATTAATTTTAATTCTAAAAGCTTTAATATTGACAATACTTCGTTATATTTGTAGCTATTTTATTTTGAACGAAATATAAAGCTTTTTCACATATTTATAAAGTGTTGACTACGAAAATTATTTCATAAGAACCGACCGACCGAACCGTCATGGAAATGGTTCTGTAAGGTTAACTTGACTGATAAGACGAACTAATCTAAAACTGATAAGCACTTGAAATGTGCAGGTATATAGATAAAATAGATTTAATTAAACTAAATATGAAAATCATAGTGTTTCTTGCTGCGTAATTAAATTACTGGATATATGTACTGCTGTCAGTGCCTACCCCCCATTTCCATAGATGTTGTTTGTTGTAATATTAAACAATTTCCTGATTAAAGAAGACAACAACCTCATTAAATATTTCAAATTATTTTTACAAAAATATATTAGTGTATAGTTGTTGTTGTTAATACTTTATAAATATTATAGGTATTTTAAATGAAGTAGCAAACTTCTTAATTATGTGCAAATATAAATCGTTGTTAATTATTTAATAAAATAATTTGCTTTATGCGTCATAAACATTTATTTATTTTTATGAAAACATGTTATATTTTGCAATATCTTAATTTCATGTACTTTTGTTTGCTATATATTGTTTACTTAATTTTTTTTTGTGGGATTTGTCGTAATCGTAATAGGGTTTAACGACGTTTTAAATCACGTGGTATCAAGTTCACAGGTTTAAATATCAAAACGTATTAATTAAAATTATTATACGCGATTTAAAAATAAATCTGATATATTAATTTAATTAGTCTACAAATTATTTTCAATCATATGTTTTAATTTTTAAATATAGGGTGTTTTTTTTAGTGGTTTACCATTTTAAATTGATATCAAACACAATGTCAAAATGTGAGCAATGTAGCATTTACGTGGTATTTACGCATTTTCGTGGTCAACAAGCTAATTTAGCACCACCGAAATTAAAAGCATTGTATAAATCAGGTTTGCAAGATGCCATACAAGAGGAAGCTAGCACAAGAACAGCACTTGAGAAAATACAAGAAATACGTAACATTCGCAATGAACGTCGTATACAGGCACGGGATGCCGGCAACAAGGAGGCCATACGACGCACAGTGGGGTAAAAGACCCTTAAAATGGCGATCAATTCACCTGAGTTGAAAATCTGATTGTTGACTAGTTTTATATATATATATAGAACGGAAGAATATAAAAAAAAAATTTTTTTTATTGTTGTTTTTTTTTACAAATTTTTCATTAACATATTGAATTTTGGTTACTTTTACCGTAATCATATATACATTATAAAATATAATCCTTATTGTCAGCATCATCACCATCATCATATATACATTATAAAATATAATCCTTATTGTCAGCATCATCACCATGTCGCGAGCACATATGAAGATGGTACAAATATCTGCACAAACATTGCCACTCTTCGTAAGTAAACCTGGTGAAAAAGTTCCTCCGCTCTGCGGAGCTATACCAGCGGATAGTAGTTACATAGCAAAAGTCGGAGATAATGTAGCAGCATTAGTTAAAAGCGTGGACGAGGAAGAAAATTGGATATTGGCTGAAGTAGTGCAATTTTTAACAAGACAAAATAAATATGATGTTATTGATATCTTTGAAGAACAAAAAGATAGACATGTTCTGAGTAAGCGTAATATTATACCCTTACCATTAATGCGAGCTAATCCAGAAACTGATGGTCATGCACTATTTTCCAAAGGAACAATGGGTATATAATGCAATATTAATTATATCTGGTAAAATAATTATAATTAAAACTAATTTTAATTTTTTAGTTTTGGCACTATATCCTCGGACTACGTGTTTCTACAATGCAATTGTACATAAATTGCCAGAGACAGCAAAGGATGACTATGAAGTACTATTTGAGGATTCCTCATTTTCAGATGGCTATACAGAACCGCTACGGGTGGCTCAACGTTATGTCATTACATATAGACCAACAAAGAAAGGAAGCAACGGCGGAAGTGGAAGTGTTTCATCAGCATAAGCAATAAATAATATAACAATTAATTTCTTAAATATAAAATTATTTACTTAATAAATATTGTACAGTTTTATATTTAAAACTTAATCTACTCATCCGTATCTTCATTCTCATCTTGTTCCATGGCATCATCTTCAGCATCATCACCATGGCCACTATCGCCCTCCACTTCGTTTTTTATGTGTAATTCAAATCCATCGTCTTTACTCCAAGAACATTTAATTGCTAGCCTGAATTTGGCCATTGGATTTGCAATAAGCTTAAGAATTCTTGCTTGTTCAGGCGTTAAGATTTTACCTTCTTCACAGACTGTATACGCACTGTACAATGTTACGACGCCCTTGAAATAATTATTATTATTATCAGTGAACTGTAAAAACATCTACTATTTAAATGTGTGATCTTAAATGTGGCTCCATAGAATGTGTGAATTCTTCTAGTGGACCTTCCGGTAATGTGACTGTTTCTGTAGCGACGAAACCACTGCGTGCATATTCAACCGCCCAATAGCTTTCTGCCCAATCTAAAACTTCCTTTTTGGATTTTGTGGTAAATAAAAGACCAACTTGGCCATTTAAACGCTTTGATACCTGTAATTAGGGTTTTAATTACATAATAAATTTTTTATATATTATAGTTTAAACATACTTCATGTAAACCTGGTTCAATTTCTTCTGCTTCTGTGCGACCAAGTCCAATCTGCATAATTCGATTCTTGCCAAAGAAAAATCTTGAATTTTCCTTCCATTCATGTCGTAAGTCTTTCAGTAAATTATTTCTCATATTTTGTACTTGAAACACGAATATATTTGTGTAAATTCCTACACATTTTCGTATATCTTCTATAATACGTTGTTTCCAAGCAAGACCTTTACGATCAGTTTTCGTAAGGGAAACTAATAAAAAAAAATAATTAAAATTAAACTTGTCATAATTGCAAATCTAACTTAATAATAATTATTTACTTTTCTTATCCCTTTTTGAACGCGGCATATTTAATGCAGAGTTTTTATTACAGCTTTATATTTTGAAACGAAACACAATAAAAGGCACAACACGTGCGCTACGAAAGCAACAATGTGAAATGCAAAAACGAAACGTACCAAAATGTCAACACACTGAGTAAAGATAATAGTTTGTGCTGCCACGTAATTAAAGAAGTTTTTATGTTTTCGCACAGAAATCAAAAAATAAAAAGATATCAGTAAAATAAATGTTGATGGTATATTGGGGGAAATAGTAAATTATATCGGTATGGCAGCGAATATTGGTATTTACCAGAATTTCGAGTAGTAAATTAGATAAAAATTAGGTAAATAAGGTGTTACCATTATGAACATTTTGTAGAATGTTTATTAAATAAATAAACAAATTAAAAAAATTTTAAACAAAAATAAGGAATGAGTGCAATAAATAAACAAAAAAATATTTGCAGAAGTGCAGTGCAAATAATCTCTAGGAAATTTTAATTTATTTACAATTATAATAATTTTACAGTTTATATGCTTCTACAATTAGATTAATAAATGGCAAAAAACGGAAGCCAGAAGAAACATAGTAAATATTACAAAAAATTTTAAGTTAAAAAATTTAATAACTGAAAGTTTATTAAAAATTAAATGAACGGCCTAGTTCGCACACGGCTTAGTGTGCGAGTTCGAGTAAATTGAGGTAAATAAACTAAAATTTCCTAGAGATTTTTTGCACTGCACTTATGTAAATATTTTATTATTTCTTTATTGCCCTTATTTATTATTTTTGATTAAAAGTTTTCAAATTTATTTATTAAATATCTTATCAAATTTTCACAATGGTAACATTTAATTTACCTACTCTATTCAAAGTTCTGGTAAAAACCAACATTCGCTCCCTTACTGACATAATTAACAATTTCCAGCAATTTACTCGAACTTATAATACATAAATAAACATATATCGTTTTAATTTATAATCTAATAATAATAATTACATTTTTTTTATATATTTATACTTCAAATAAATTTAGTACACATTTTAATATTAAGTACACTATAGACGGTTACAAAGCATTTTTAGAGACTTGTCCTTTTGATAATGAATTTTTTTATTTAAATAAATAACTATTTATGCAAATGTTAGGGAGTACATATAAATATCTGAAACCAATGAGACTCAAATATATATAAACTGAATTGCATATTAAAATATTATTGTACAATTTTGATTAGTGGACAAATCAAATTTTTATTCATGCATAGCAAGTCTCCAACAATGTTTGGCAAAATCGTTGCGTTTGTACATCACTTTATGTTACCACGTGCATGACAATTCACCATCGAGTTAACTTAGTTGCGTTTGTCAATTATTTATTTTAGGTGAAAAAATAAATCTGAAAAATTTTCTTTTATTGTTGGTTATTACTCATTCGTTTTTGTATTTACTCGGTTGAAGTGGTGTGTGAACCTGAAGCTCCATAAATTTTTGCAAATCAATTTTTTGGGATAAAAGTATTCTATTTTAGACTGGTAAGTTTGATATTGCTATAAAGTATTTTACTTATAATTAATAAAAATAAATAAATGACAATACTTTATTTGTGAATATAAATATTGGTGTTGAAATACAATTGCAAAAATTTATTCGAGAACTCAGAAGAAAGTAGGCAGCAAGAAGATTAATGCCGTTAAAAAAGAATAAAAAAAAAAAAATTGCACGCCGGAATATTTAGCAGTGAAAAATGCGCATTTATAATTAACACATATTCAGTGAAAATATAAAACTGTTTAGATTTTCAATTCTATTACAGTTTTTATTTCTCTAACGGTTATTTAGTATAAATGTTATGCATTATGCTTTCATACTTTTATTCCGAAAATTCAGTGGATTTTTGGTTAGAAAAATATCTTTAAATGTATTGGTGCAACGATTGGCGTCTATGACGCTGGGATGACGTAATGCCGATTGTGACATTAAATTCCAGTAACTAAATAATTAAGCTTATTAAATAAATAATTAGAGATATTAGTGCAAAATTGACGTTTATGGTTAGATTTAAATTGGTGAGTTAAGTAAAAGTGCTGAATCAGTTGTGCGGTTTATGAATCATATGAATCAAAAATTTAAAAATATTTAAATATTTTACTTTTATTTTTACTGGTATTCGACCCCTTATTAAGGCCGATATTGACCTAACATAAATATTCTTTTCTATACATACAACATAGAACTTATCAGAAACTATACTTGCTCTTACCCTATGTGAATTTTTCTACACCGTCCTGTCTCTTAAGAAATGGGGGGAATAACCCAAACAATATATTTTATATAACTATATATAAAAATTCATTAAAATCCTTAATATTTAATATGACATCTTCAAATTAATCAATTTACTCTCTTACGGCACTGAATTTAGGTCTGTTGAACTTTTATACCTAAAATTTGGCCCATTTACTTCTCAGTACGAAATCACCATCTTAGTTTTTTACTTACAGTCTTTAGAGACAATAAATCTCAAATTTTCAACTGCACTGATCCGCAGTCAACTAAGGCAATACTCTCATATATATTAAATAAGCTTAAAATCATATCATTTATTATAAACGAATAAGATTTGCTTTTCCCTAAAAATTTTTTGTAGATATATTTATATATATAATTATTTTCCTACTATTTATAACCTTTTTGTTTTTATCGCTTACCTCTTAAACCTAACTATAAGTATACATTACAAACCTCCTTCTGTTACCACTCTAAGTTTAGAAGCAGAAGTAAATAAATGTTGAATTGAAAATAAATATACCTAAAATTTTCCAGTCGGATTTCAGTAGATATATCATAAGACTCAAAATTATAATGATGTTTAACCATATATATATTATAGATAATTTGCGCTCACCCACCAACTAATTAGCTTAGTTAATTAAGTTTAGATAAAATTAATCCTTTTAACTATTTTTTTTTAAAATTCTTATTAGAAAAAATAAATTAAAGTTCTCATCTTATCTTATTTATTATTTAAGCTATAAGCGGGGATTTAAGTATACATAAATTAAATAAAATAAAATAGTAGAATATTAATAATAGCGAATGTAAAGGAATTTTTACTACTGAAGTCCATAAGTTTGAAGTTATATTTGCTTTATTCTGTGAGAATTCTTCTGTAATCTTAAAAGAAAAAAGTAGAATATCAAACGCAATAAAAGTAAAGGAACTTCTTTGACTGAAGTCCACAAGTTTCAAGTTGTTTTTCTTATTTTTCCATTCAGATACTTTTCGTCCAGAACTTTCTCGTATACTATTTTTTGTATGTGTTAAGTGTAAAGGTCACTCTTTAAGATAATGAATTAGGAAATATCTTACTGAAAGCCTTTTGTAAATTAATTTCGAATTATATTGTAATATCAGCTATTAACTGCTATTTATGAAGAATCGTCTAAACACAAATATTTAAATGCCCGTGCCCTTAATATGTAGTTTTGTATAGTATATATTTAGTTTAATATAGTTTAAAGACTTTAAATTTTGTATATATATTATCAAGTTATCTGTACACAATATTTCTGATTAAATTAAGCTACTGTATATATCTAAAATTGATTTATTGTATTATAGGTGATCTAGAACTTGTTAATAGAAAGTAAAATTCACTTAGTAAAATATTCATATATTCTTATAGTTTTTTAGTCCCTATAACATTTTTCACCTTTTTTGTAGTAATTTTCAATATAAAATCATTATTTTATTTTTATAGATTTTTAAGCCATAAACTATAATGCACATTAACTAATTATTTTTTAATAATGGTTTTTATATATTTTTTATCCGGCTATATGTCACTTTTTGTTAAAATTAAAATTCATTGTTTGTTTAATATTTTTTGATATATTCTATATTTCGACTTTCCTTAAGAGTCATCATCAGCATCAGGATCTAAGATTAATATTAATAAAATTTATATCTAAAATTTATATCTATATTGCACTGTAACAACTAATGTTTTTTTTTAACTTAAGAATATTAGACTAGATATTAGACCTTGACAAAGTATGTTCTATATAACTCAGCCTCTATTTAGTTTCAGTAGTTAAACAC